AATCTGTAAACTATTAAAATAGATATCTAATCTACATTTCTCTGGTGTATCAAAAGCAACATTCCACCATTAATAATTTTAAAAAATAAAGATTATCATTTAAAATTTATAATTTTAAACAAAAATTAAAAAAACCATTGATGAAAATTTAAGAATAAAATTTAAATTTAAAAAAATTATAATCCATAAAATAAATAAAAAAAATTTTCGAAAAAATCGTTTTTTTTATTTTTTTTTTATTTTGATTTAATTTTTTTTTTTTAAAAATATTTTTTCAGCAAAAATTTTTTTTTATTATTTATTATATTTAATAACTATATTCTTATTATTTTATCCTTATATTTAGTATTTATTCGGAAGTGCTCTGAAAAATATTATTTAATAAATAATTTTATTGTAAAAAATATAAAATAGAATAATATTAATATAATAATAAATATTAAAATAATAATTATAAACAACAGCAATATATATATACAAATGGTACCGATAATGCAAGATGATGCATTCACATTTGAACAGCATATATTTAACTCATCAACATCTCCATCAGTATCATTAGAGGATAATATCACCAATAGTTTATCATCTCCACAAAAATATATTTCAAACAGTATGAATAATCTCAGCCATAGCAATGGCAATAGCAATGGTAATAGTAGCCACGACCATATTAATCCATTTTATGATGACGATTTTTCAAATCAATTTTCATCATCACCTCTAAAATCATTTCCAAGTCCTTCACCATTAAAAAGAATTGATGGTTCACCAATTAAATTTAATTATCAAGATTTTAATCATCATAGTAGTGGTTTGGCAGAGTCCCCTTTAACACCAAATAGAAGTTTTTCAGATAGTTGGATACAGAGTTCTTCAACACTTTCACTTTCGCAATCACCTAGTTCAGACTTGTTTCTTACAAATCATTTAGTTTTCGACCAAAATTCAAATAACAATAATAACAATACCGTTTTAAATAATAATAATAATAGTTACATTGATAACAATAAAATCAAAGTAGATATATTTTCACAATCTTTAGAATCAAAATTAACCGCCCCAAAAAACAATACAAATAATGAAAATAATAACGATAATAATAATTTAATATCAACTCCAAAAAGAAAAATTAATATCCCAAATTTAAATAGTATTAAATGTAAACATTGTGATACAAAAATGAAGCCAAAATATATCAGTTTTGATGAAGTTTTGTTTATGTGTGGCACCAATGGATGTTTATTTCCTATGGATGACGAAAAGTTGTCTGATTTTTTTTTCCCATCTTATTTATTCAAAAAGAAACAAAGAACAGTATCATCCCAGTAAAAATTTCAGAAATAAAATTTCTATTTTTTTTTATCTTGAAAATATTATTTTATATTTTTTATTTTTTATTTTTTATTTTTTTTAAGATATATTTTAAAATTTTTTTAGCACCCAAATTTTCAATTTAGGAAAATTCACTAAATGAATTTTTTTAAATTTTAATTGATAAAATTTTAATAACAGATTAATTTAAAAAAATACCATAAATAATATTTTTATTAATAATATTTAAATGGGAACAAAAAATCAAATTCAAATTGTCACATGTTGCCTAAAAAACAATGTGTGACCAATGATCTTCTTAAAAGCCCTGGCTTTGATCATGTGTAGTATCTGTTCTAGAAAGCTTAATCTCTTTCTGATGCCCAAGTGGTGTCATTATATGATTAACTAATTTATTATAGAGGGCAAGAGAACATTTATAATTAGTGCATGTCATTAATTAGTTTTCTTCATACATTCGCTCTGTATCGCACTATTTCAGAGATTATAAGGTGTGCCTCTTTTTATTTAAAATTAAAGAAAAAAAATAAATATAATAATTATACAAACTGTTTTGTTTTTTTTTATTGTAAATGAAAATAAAAAAAAATAAAAAAATATTAGTTTGAATATTTTTTAAGGCGGGTTGCATCTTGAACCTCTTGGTTTGCTTTCTTATGGGAAATTATTTCATTAGTGGCTACATGATGGTTATTTCTGTGATATTAATGATATATTAATTTAGAAATTGTAAATACACAGTTTAATAGAAATCTAAACATCTTTTTCTTTTGAATCCTCTGTTCCTCTGATATTTTTTTATGATTCCTCTTAACTTTGTAATAAAAAAAAAAAGAAATAATTTGAATAATTTGTTGTTCATTTGTTTTTTTTTTTAAAAAATAATTCAAAGTTTCATTGATTTCATTTTATTTTAATTTTATTATTACATAATTTGATTAGCTTGATATAAATAATTTTTGTTTTTGTTTGTTTATTATTATTATTATTATTATTATATTACTATTTAAATTGATTTTTTAATGTAAAACAGCTGAACCACCAAAACCAAAACCTTTGATTGAATAATTGGATTGGTAACATCTTGGACAAAAGATATAACCATCTTTTTCGCTGTATGAACCACTTACAAGATTTTTGTTGCAATGGAAACAAGTGAAACAAGTCTTGTGCCAATCTCTGCTGTTGTAATGTTTCATTTCGGAAAAGTAAGCTTTTTTACCACATTTTGGACAATTTGATGGGTGTAAAGCTGGAAGATTGTTCTTTGCTTCTGGAGCAGCATAAGTTTGAACTGGTTGTTCTTCAATTACAGTAGTTTCAGTTTTAACAGCTGGTTCAAAACTTGATAAATCTCCGTGACCATAACCTGCAATTCTGAATAATCTATCATAATCCTTTTTGTGTTAATAAAAAAAAATTTCAATAATTAATATTTGGCTTTATTTCACTTTATTTGACTATTATTTTTATTTGTAACCTACAGTTTTGCAATATGGTTTACCGTCTTTTTCTGGGAATTGACCTATAAATAAAATAATGAATTAATATTTAATATTTTTAAATTAAACAAGTATATAAATGAATGAATGAATACAAACCTGGTTGTAATTGTTTATTACAGTGGACACATTTTAAGCATAATTTATGATATTTCTTTGATTCTGGACCAGAGACCCATTCTATAATATCAATTAATTAATTTGTTAGAAAAAAAAAAAAAAGTTTTTTTATTTTATTTTGTTCAAATACATACCTGCAGCGTATACTTTTTTATCGCAAGTTTCACAAGTAGCTGACATTGTTTATAGTTAAATAATTAATATAGTTATAATAATAAAAAAAATGATGAAATTAATTAATGTGATAAAAAAAAATATTATTTTTAAAAAAAAAAAATCAAAAAAAAGTTTTTTTTTTAAAATAAATATTTTTTTTAAAAATTAAAAAAAAATTCAAATAAAATTACAAGCCACTGATTATCATAAATATTATTGGTAGTGTTGTGTCTATAGTGTGATTAAATTATTTATTTAAACATAAATTGGTGTATGCATCTTTTAATCTTTGGATGTTTTCTTTTTTTTTAAAAAAGGGTTATTTTAAAATAAATAAAAAAAAATAAAAAAAAAGAAAATGTGAACATTAAAGACTAAAAAAATAAAAGGAATGTGGGGTGGGGGAATAAAATGCATATCTAAAAGTATTTCTATTTTTATACAAATTTAATAAAATAAAGTTATAAAAAAAAATGAATGTAAATTATCAATTTACAAATCTTCAATTAGTTAATAAAAAATTATTCAGATCTGTTAAATATATATTTTTAAAGAAGATTAAAAATGGAATAGTGATTTCTATAACAACGATAAAGCATTTGAATTGTTATTTTAAACCTTTTTTAATTTTTTTTTTTTTTTTTTAAAAATTTAAAAATATTTTTTTCATTTTTTTCATTTTTTCATTTTTTTTTAATTTCTACAAATATGTCAGATGCAAATATAAATAATAATATTAATAGTAATAAATTAAAATGTAAAGTTAAAACATTATTGTCATTGTATTTAGATATACCCAGAGAAACACAAATGTGTAATAGAGTATCAAATAAAATCAATAATTTAAATTTTACATGTCATATATCACCAAATGATTTTGTATTATTAGTAACACACTGTGGTGGAAGTCCAACAAACTCACATCAAAGTATTGATAATAGATCTCATTTTATAGTTTTATATTTAAATAATAATATTATTAAACTCTGCGATTTTAATGTTGATATTAAAATGATCGAAAGATCATTCTCAAGCACATCGTCATCATCATCACCAATTAAATCATCGGGAACCTCACCTATACTACCAACACTACAAATAAATTTTCTAAAGGAATACATGGATATATTAGAGTTAAACAACGAGCAGCAAATCTCCATTGGATTAGTCGCAAAATATAATCTTTTACCAATTGACTCAATATATTTATCAGTTAGCAATGAAACTTTAAAAGAACTAAAGCTAGAACTTTCAGAAATTAAGAATCTATTTTCATTAGAGTGGGCATATAAAGGTTTAGAAGAAGATACACCAATAGACTATAATGGTGGGCAGGTTAATTTAATTCAACGTTCTGGGAAATTAATAAAATATAGTTATAGAGTTAATAAACCAATAAATAATAATAATAATGACATTATAAATCAATTTGGTATTATAAATAAACAAACTAAATTAATATTTAATGAAATAAATAATAGTAATAATAACAATATAAATAGTAGTGTTTTATTAAATAATTTAGAATCATTTGATAATAGTAAAAATAAAATATTAAAATTATTAAATATATATTTTGGGAATAATAAAGAAAGTTTAAAATATGATAGTTTGGGCATCAGCAAAGCGAGATCATTATTATTATATGGTCCACAGTCAAGCGGTAAATCAACTATAATCAATGGGTTAGCAAAATATTTAGACATAGGTGTTATTCATGTTTGTTTAGCAGATTTAGTAAAATATCAACCAAATACAAAAGGGTTATTATTAAAATACTACCAAGCCAAATTTTTAAAGAAATCAATTTTACTTATAGATAATATCGATGAAATATTCCCTCATTTAGAATCAAACACTTCAAACAGTAATAAAAATAATATAAATTCATTAATGTCACTATTATTAAAACTATTATTAAATAATGATATTAACGAACAAGATGATAGTAATAATAATTATAACAATAGTAGTAGTGATATTAATAATAATAATAAATTATTTATAATTGGTATAACAAATAAAATCAAATTATTAAATAATAATATTAGAATAAATTTTGAAGAAGAAGTTAAAATCGATCCACCAGGAGAAGAAAAGAGACTAGAGATATTTAATTGGTTTTTAAAGGATTTTGGTAAAAATAAAATAGAAAAGAGATCAGCTATAGTAGGAAAGATTAATGATAACTGTAATGGTTTAATGGGTGGAGATATTTCAATTTTATGTAGAAATGCTAAAATCAATTCATTGAATCGATATAAACAAATAAACAACAGTGTAGCAATTGATATAGGTGATATAGAATTTCAAGAGAGTGATTTCATTTCAGAGTTTGGTCAATATCGTAAAGACAAATCAATGACATCGAAAATATCACCTTCGATACCAAAAGTATCATGGAACGATATTGGTGGTTTAGAAGATGCAAAGCAAATATTAAAAGAAATGGTGCTTTGGGATTATCAATATGCAGATTCAATAAAAAGACTAGGGGTAAAAACCCACAAAGGTATTTTAATGTATGGCCCACCAGGTACAGGTAAAACTATGTTGGCACGTGCTGTAGCTCATGAAGCAAAAGCCAATTTTATACCTATAAATATTTCAGAATTAATTCAAGGTGAAATTGGTGAATCTGAAAAAGCAATATCCGAAATTTTTAGAATAGCATCCAACTGTGCACCATCAATTATTTTTATAGATGAAATTCAAGCGATCTTTGGTCTTAAAGAGTCTTCAGGTAGTAATAGTAAAAAATTAATTTCACAACTTTTGATAGAACTCGATCAAACTATAGGTAGAGATTCAATAGAAAAAAGAATTATGATTTTAGCTGCTACCAATATGCCCCAAGCAATCGACCCATCTTTTCTTCGTGTTGGAAGATTCGATAAAACTGTTTATATAGGACCACCAGAACCAAAAGAAAGAAAACAAATTTTAGAACATGTTATTAAATCTTCATCTATCAAAATAAGTAATGACGTAGATTTAGATGTTATTGCAGAAAAAGCTAAAAACTATACTGGATCAGATATCAATGCATTATTAAAAAAATCTGGTCTTTATTCAATCCAGCGTGATATAAATACAACTTCGATCTCGATGGATGATATATTAAAAGTTTTATCAGAAATGGAACCATCCGTTTCACTATTTCAATTAGAATTATTAAAAAATTGGGAAAACAATAAAAAATTTTAATTATAATATTTAATAATGAAATATTAAAACTAAATAGATTCGTTTATTTTTTTATTTTTTTTATTTTTTTATTTTTTTAATTTTTTTTTTAATTTTTAGATTTTTGGGTTGGGGAAAAAAAAAGAAAATTAAAACTGCAAAAAAAAAAAAAAGCAAACAAATCGTGTAATATTAAAAATGGAATTTAAATTAAGAGCAGCAAATGAAGGTGATATAAAATCAATTCAAGAAATATATAGCTTTTATGTAGAATTTGAAATTTGCACATTTGAAGAGGAAATACCATCAGAAGATGAAATTTTAAAAAGATATAAAAGTATTACAGGTAATGGTTATCCATATATTGTTGCAACCACAAAAAGTGCAGATGAAAGCAGTGAAACTGTTGTAGGTTACGCATATGCATCTGCTTTTAGACCAAGAATAGCCTATAGATATACTGTTGAAGATTCAATTTATATAAGCAAAGATTATAAAGGTTTGGGCGTTGGAAAATTATTATTATCTGAACTTATAAAGCTTTGCAAAGAAAAAGGTTATAAACAAATGGTTGCTGTTATTGGAGGTTTTGAAAATGTAGGATCAATAGTTTTACACGAAAAATTAGGTTTCGGAAATAAAAGTCACCTTAAAGATGTTGGTTTTAAATTCGATAAATTTATTGATACAGTAACATTACAATTAGCATTATAATAAATAATAAATAAATAAATAAAATATTTTAGAGTGTAATTTTATACATATACAACGTTCATTTTATTTTATTTTATTTTATTTTATTTTATTTTATTTTATTTTATAGATTTCTTGAAAGAGTTTGACCTACCAGTTCTGGTCCAAATGTTGAGTGTTTTTCTTCAGATTCTAATTGAAAACCAAATTTCTTATAAATTCTAGCAGCATCTACTAAAATACTATTGGTCCAAAGTATCATTTTCTTATAACCTACTTTTTGTGCAAATTTTATACATTCATCTACCAATTTACTTGCTATTCCTAAACCACGTGCTGAAGAGTCAACATATAACAATCTAAGCTTTGCTGTATTTTCATCGTGTTTAACTACAAATATTGAACCAACTACTTTACCATCTTTTTCAGCAATCCAACATTTTTCATATCTTGCATCAAAATTGGTCAAATAGTCAGATACTACTTTAGCAACTAATGCTTCGAAATTTGAATTCCAACCATATTCGTTTGAATATAATACAGCATTTTGGTAAACTACCATTCCCATGTCCCCTGGCTTTGGGTCACGTAAAATATATGATGGTTCATTAATTTGCTCCATTGTTTTTTTTTTTAATAAAATGATGGTTAAATACCGTTTTTTTGACTTTTCGATTTTTTTTGTTTTTTTTTTTTAATTTTTTTTTTTTGCGCACAATACAAAATTATTTTTATTTATTTACATTTTACAAAATTATTAATAATTGATTGAATTTTCTTTTAATCTATCATTAATATAGCCTTTTTTTCTTAAATCTTTATAAACCAATCTTATTGAGGTTGAAAATTTTTTTAATTTTAAAAGTATTGAAATTAAAAGTGATGATTTGCCAATATATTTTATAATGTCATCTTGAGTAATTCTATTAATAATATATTCAGTATTTTGAATTGCAATAACATTTGGGTGATTCATTGAATCTCGAAGAGCTGATTGTTTAATTGTTTTGTAGAGGATATCTAAACATTCTAGAGTATAGGACCTATCTATATCGAATATAATTGGCATTATTGGCGAAGCTGATAATAAAAGTTCCATTTCATAGATTGAATTATTTGAAGTTTTAATTGAATTAATGATTTGAGGTATATTATCTTTAACTAAATCTGGTCTCCTTGATAAAACCTGTAATGCTGATGACCTTACGGCTTCATTTTTATCTAGTATGCAATAATTTGGTGAAAAATTGCATAACGCTGATTTTGATTCTGTACCTAAAATCTCTAATCCGAGTTCTACATCTGATAATGATAAAGGAACATTTAAAGGTATACGATTGATAAGTTTACTAAGCTCTTCATCACCATAAGAAGATGGCATGCCTTTTGGAACCAATAATAGTACTTTTAGTGATATACTAAAGAGGAAATTTGAATCACCAGGATGAACGATTGGGAAAAGATTTTTAATTAACTCGGTTATAGACTCTGCATGATCTCTATCCAAGGATGCTACATTGTTACTATTTAACTCTGTTATAAATACACGAATGCTTTGAATTAAAGTATTTACCAACAATGGATTATCGATAAGGAATTGCTTTGCTTGTTTGAATTTTAGGCATGTTGAAATTAGAGCAAAGGCAACTGGATTTGGTAGGGAGACTAGCTGATGAAAAATAGGTTGCATATGATCAACTTTTAATGACTGTATAGTTTGACTTTCTTCGACTTCAGTAAAGCCCAGTAACTGTAAAAATATATCGAAAATGAATCTTGAAGTCTTTAAATTATAACAAATTGAACCATTTACAATTTGGGAGAACCAGCCAATGGAGCTTGGGAGATGATTTAAAATAATAATTGAACAAAGGATCTGCAAGTTGTAGCCATGTCTAATTGCTTCGATAATTGTGAAAAATAAAATATTTGTAAATTGATCGATATCAGTATTTTCGCTTGTAAGTGATTTAGGGTTATCTAAATAAAATAAACGAGCACATTCTCTTACACAATCTACAACAGTTTGTTCTCTTTGAATACCTGAGACACCTTGGAACTTCATTAGGTCGATTTGATCCCTGAGAATTGGCAATAATTCGCTGCTCCATGTTTCTTTGGTAAATTTTTTGCTAGAGTTTAATATACAATTTAATGAGCCCTCAATTGGGCCTAAAGAGCTAAATAACTTTTTAATTATATTTCTGTTGTTTGGTAATTGACCCATTAAACTTTCAAAAACATCTAAAACTTCATATGGTGATTGGTAGTCATCTGTTGAATATGCCTTTAATTTATCTTGCAATGATATTTTAATTGAATAAATATCAATGAAATCGAAAATAATCTTTAAAATTTTTTCTATTGTTTCTTCGTTATTCTTTTTGCTTAATATATCTATATAATTTGTATCGATTGCTGTTTTTATTGATAACAATACTTTATCTCCAAATTCTTTTGATGATGGTGGTATTCTATTTTGTAACTATTTTAAAAAAATAAAAATTTTACTGTTAATTATTATATTTAACTTTGGATAAAAAATATTGCCACTACTTACAATTGAAATTGATTCTTTGTCAAAAATACCATCATTTGACCAAAAATAATTTAATGTTAATGAATCTGTTGAAACTAATGAAAGTTGTTTTAAAATATCAGATTTATATTGATCTTTTGGTAAATTTGATAAAATTTTTATTGATAAATTTCTTAAAACTTCACCATGGTCTAATGAATTTGCAAATAATATTAATGGTTGAATTATGTTTATAGAGTTGAAATAAAAGTCTATACATAAATTAATTGCTGTTAATTTGTTACCAATATCAACGATAGATTGAATTGAGTTTAAAATTTCCATTTTCTTTGATAATGTTGATGCCCTTTGAATTGAATTTATTAAGATTTGTAATGAGTTTTTTATTTGATCTTTAATAAAATTTGTTGATGGTCCTTGTTCAAATCTTGAAACAAATAACATTGTAAACTTGGGTTTGCTTAATAAAATTGTTAAAACCTTTCTAAACTGCTCTAAATATTTTCTAAAAACACCATCGTCATATTTACTTGAATTTAATAATATTTCTTTATCTATCATAAAATTTAAAACAACTTTAATTGATAATATAATTTCTAGTTCTAATTATAAAAAAAACTATTAATATTTAAACTAATAATTATAATTATTATTGATATTATTATTTAATTAAGTATTTACCCATATCATTTGTAACAGTATTTGAATTTAATGACTCTACATAAGATATTGCAAATTGATACCAATTTTTGAAAACCTCTTCAGGTAAGTCACAATTTATATCATTGGTTTGAAAATTTAATTCGTGTAATGATGAGGATGAATTTGAAATTTGTTTAATTTGGTCGTGTGATTCCATCTTTATAATACTAAACTCCTCTTCCCAATAATGGAGTTTTTTATTTATAATTTCATTTATATTATTCTCGTCAATTAATAAAATATCGTTATGAGCTTCACCATCATCTGTAAAACCCATTTTATAATATATATATACAAATTTAATAAATATTAAAACAAAAAATTTAATAAAATAAAAAAAAAAATAAAAAAATTTACAAAAAAAAAAAAACAAAAAAAAAACAAAAAAATAAAAAATAAAAAAAAAATATAAAATAATATATTTAAAAATCTCAAAAAAATGAGAGAATTAAAAAATTAATTTAAAACTATATATATCTATATTTTAAAAGATTTTTTATTTAATTTAATATTTAATAATTAATATTGTTTTAATTTGTAGTTGTGGTAGTAGTAGTGCTATTTGGGGAAGTATTGTTATTGTTATCATTATTATTAACTCTAATAGCTTTGTATAAAAGTAAATAGGACATATGCCAATCACCACCACCTTGTAATTTTTTAATTTCCTCGTTATTACATTCGGTAACAATTTGATCATCAAATTTAAACCATTTATCTTCAGCCTTTTTAACCCAAGCGACATAATGGCCAGATTCAGCATATCTACCTTGATGTGTTAAAACAGCAACCAATTCATACTTACCAGTGTCATCTGATTTATTAAAAATATCAACAGGTTCACTTAGAGTTGGTAAAGTGGATGGTTGTTCCTCACCGACTGCAGCTTTCTTTTCTGTTTGTTTAGAATCGTCATCATCATTAGCAAATGCCTTTCTCTTCTTATCAAGTGCTGAATTGGCTTCATCTTCCAATTTTTTTCTATTTGGTTCAAGCTTGGCTTGATATTCTGGTGTACATAAACCTTGTAAATCTAAAACAAATGGGAATTGAACAATCTATAAATAAATTTTATATTAATAAACTATATTAATTTTTTTTTTTTTAAAATCTTTAATAATACATACTCTAACAATTTTTGATTTAGTTTTTGAGGTATCTTTCCAATGGAATCTTACAAATTGAACCATAAGATATTGTGGTAACTCTTTAATTAAAGTTTTTTTAACGTAGGTTGCATCTCTATGAAGTGATGGTGAAGCTTTTGAAATTTCTTCCTCTAAACCTTTCTTTAAACCTTCAAGAAGATATGAAGTTTCAACTGTAATGTTGCATGCTAATTTTAAAAGTGTTTCTTCTCTGGTGGTTGGTTCTTCTGATGGGTTATCTTTACATGTAAACTTTTCTACAACTTGAATACCAAATAATTTACCAATCATTGATTTCTTGATCAAATCAGCTGAATGTGAATCTGTTTGATTTTCTTCAAGTGGTAATTCTTGTGCATATGCTGTTAATAATTCACTCCATGCTTCTTCAGCATCTTGTTGCATAAAATGACCTTCATTACTTTTTTCTGAAAATCTTGGGAAACACATTCTGAATGTCTATTTAAAAAAAAAAATAAAAAAATAAAAAACATATTAATATATACCATTAATAATTTTAATTTTCAAAAATAATAATTACAGTTAAAAATGAAAATGGTGTAACTGGTTCTCCAATACCGCCTGATAAATCTTTAAATAAACTTTGGGATGATTTTAATAAATTTGAATATCTAGAGTTGGTTTTTGGTTTATAACTATAATAATAATAATAATAATAATAAAAATATGTTAATAACAATAGCAATCATTGATATGATCATTTAAAAATTACCTTTTGATGATTTGTAATAATTCTGGTACATTTTTTAAACATTGAAGAGTGGCATTTAAATAACAAGTGTTACCAAGATTGGTTAAACCTGATGGTAAAAGACTATTTAAGGCAGCAGCTTTACTTGGTGGTAAATCTTCAAGGAAAACAACTGGTTTATCTGGCTTTTGTAATTCAATAGCGGATCCCATTAACATTAAGTTTTTACCTTCTGTAAGATCTAAATCTTTCCATTGTGATTCATCTTTTAAAATACCTCCTTTAAATCCCATAACTAGAAAATAAAAACAACTAAATCAATATCAGCTAATCATTTAATATATTTACATGTATTTTAAATACTTACTTTTTTGTCTTTCAACAGGGACCATAGTTAATGAAAACAATTGTGCTTTAAATTCTGCTACTGATTCATTTGGATCAATGTCAACCTCATATTTGTCTTTGTTCCACTTTACGTTTACTTTGACCATTTTCTAAAATAAATAAACAAAAAAAAAAAAAAAAAAAAATTTATTTCTATGTATGTAAGTTATAAATAATTAAAAAAAAAAAATTAAAATAATTATTTTTTGAAGTTGAAATTTATAAAATTAAAAAAAATTATAAAAAATAATAAAAAAAAAATTAAATAAATAATTTTTTTTTTTTTTCAAAATTAATTTTATTAAAAAAAAAAAAAAAATTTTTTTTTTTTTATTTGCAAATAAAAAAATATTTTTCAAACTAATTTCCTGTTTCTTTATTTTAAGTAATATTCTTAATAAACTATAATATATTAATTGGCCAAAAGTTATAAATAAAAAAATAAAAAAATAAAAAAATAAAAAAAATAATTAATATGATAACATTCCACATTCACATATAATCACACATTTAAATTAACAAAAACAAATAAATCTTTTTTCTTATCAGCAAATCTTGAAAAAAAAAAAAAAAAACTTATTTTTAAATTTTTCAAATATCTAAACAGATAAAAACCAATTTTTTTTTTTTTTTTTTTTTTTTTTTTTTTTTAAAAAAAAAATTTTTTTTTAACCCTTATCCTTTTTTTTTTTTGGTAGGCATTAATTAATTAAAAAAATTGGCCCCCTTTTTTTTATTTATTTTAAAATACTTTTTGTAAAATATCCAATAAATAAATAAATAAATAAATAAATAAATAAATAAATAAATAAATAAATAAATAAATAAATAAATAATAAATAAATAATAAATAAATAATAAATAAATAAAATAAAATAAATAAAATAAATAAAAAAACATTATAAAAACATTATAAAAAATTAAAAATAAATATATAAAAAAAAAATTAAAAAAATTTTTGTTAAAGAAAAAAAAAATGGAGAATAAATATTATATTGATAGTAATATAGATAATAATAGTAATATGAATAATAATAATCAAAATAATCAAAATAATCAAAATAATCAAAATAATCAAAATAATCAAAATAATCAAAATAATCAGAATAATCAAAATAATCAAAATAAAAATACATATAAATATAATATTAAAAAATTTAATTATATAAATGAAGACGATAAACCTTTATTTTATAATTATGATTTTAGAAAAAGAAATAAATATTCATTTTATGTATTGGATTGGTTATGTGTTTTAATAGTATTGGTTATTGGTGGTATATTGTTTTTAAAAGTTAAAGTTAGAGGAAGATTATTTAGATTAAACGATGAAAGTATATCATATCCACTTTTGGATGAATTGGTACCAATGCATTCACTTATCCCAATTATTATATTGGTTCCAGTCGGTTTAATGGTTATCATCAGTCTTGTAATCAAAAGAAATAGAAAAGATTTTCATCATGCAATTTTAGGTTTGGCACAGGCAATTACACTAACTTTATTATTGGTATCAAGCTTCAAATGTTTTATTGGTGGATTGCGTCCAAACTTTTTATCAATTTGCAAACCAACACCAGAATCAATTGCTGCAGCCACTCCTGTAGGCTATGGTGGTATTTATTATGATAGTACAGTCTGTACCGCTTCAGATTACGACATTAACGATGCTTTAAGTGCCTACCCATCCGGTCATGCAGCTATATCCGCTACTTCTCTTGGTTATCTAGCTATCTATTTAAATTCAAAATTCAAAACATTCCATGGCCGTGGTCATCTTTTTATTTATATCTCAGTTTGTGGTTGTACTATTGGCGCCGGTTTAATAGGTGTCTCCAGAATTGCTGATTACCGTCACACCTTTTTAAATGTTTTGGCTGGTTGGATTATTGGTATATGTATTGCATTCTCAATGTACAGGTTAAACTATCTATCGGTATTTGGTGATGATAATCATATTCCAATCGCTAAACATTGGAAACATATTTGGAGACATCAAGACTCTACAAATATTGTGGATGACAACTATGACGATGATGGTAAAAAAAGCTGTAGTGATATCATTAGCCTAGAGGAAAGTTGCGATTTTGAATCTTTAAACCACGGAAATAGATCTCCAAATAGTGTACCATTAAAAGAGGTTAGATAAAAACCAATTTTTAAAAGAAATTTTTTAAAAAAATAACAAATAAAGTACAATGTATATTAGTAATAACATCTTTGCAATCAATTTTGTAATTTTTTTTTTTGTTTAAAAAAAAGTTTATTAAAATATTCAAAATTTATAATTATTTTTTAAGTCAATAAATAGGAAGTTAAGATTTATTATTTAATTTTGTATTTTAATAAAAATTTATTGAAAAATTTAGTTTATTTATTGACTTAAAAAAATAATTATAAATTTATTGTTTGTATAAACTAAATTTTTTTTTTGTTTTATCTGTTAGACTCTATAGAGTCTACATGTTAAGGTTGTGCTTCCTGTATTTTTGATGGTTAGTGGAGCACCATATAAATGACGTATGACATTTTCACCATCTGTAATTGTATGGCTTTCTAGCGAAATCCTATCAGTGACAAATTCAAAAATACCAACACCACCATTTTTTACTATAACTTCAATATTTGTTTTTGTATCTTCACTGGTTTGCTAAAATTATGTAAGTTTATTATTTAAAATTATATTTAGAAATATATAGAGAATTTAATACCTACAATACCACTTTGTGATTGATTTGGTTCTGATTAAAAAGAAAAAAATTAGAAAAATTTCACCCTAAAATTTTTTTAAATATTTTTTTTTAAACACTTTTTTTTATTTTACAGTGGGTGTTGAAAAACAAACTAAGTTGATAATTGTTATGGACAATCATCTACAAATCTTCTGCTTGTTTTGTCTTTTTTTTATCTATGTGTAATGTAGGTACAAATCTATTAGTTATTTAAAGTAAATAATATTTATTAAAGTAATAAAACGATAATTATTTAAGTTATGAATATTATGTATTTTAAATAACTAATAGATTTGTACCTACATTACACTTTTTTTTTTTCCACACATATTATCTAGTTGTATCGAGGCCCGGGTCGAAACAAAAAGAAATTGTTGAATCACGAATAGATAATTTAGTAGAACAATAATAGTTTATAATAATATTTTTTTTTTAACATAATAATAATAGTAATAATTAATAACAATTAATAGTAATAAGTAATAAGTAATACTTAATAATAATCAATAATAATAAAAAATGATGAAAACAAACAGAACCGTTGATGGAGTACTTAGCGAAAATATCTCTTTAAAAGAGGAGAATAAAAAACTTTTAATGGATTTGGCTGAATTAAAACGTATAGTCGAAGATAAAATATCTCTTTTAGCCACATCTGAAGCAATGCGTAAGGAAGAGAAGGAAAAGAGTCAGAGAGACACATTTATCCGTATTGATTTAGAAAGCGAAATTGCAGTTCTCAAAAAGAACTCAGAAAGACGTGAGAAGAAGCTCGCAGAATTAAGTGACGAAAATGCAGAGTTAAAATACGTGATAATCGATAATGAAAGAGATATAAAAAGCCTAGAAAGCAGGGTAAACCAACTAAGCAAGTCTAGAGAGGACCAAAAAGTTAGTGAAAACGTTGTGGTAGTAGAAAACCAAGTCAACAAGACTATTAGCCGTATGAAGCTGAAGAACGACGATATTGATGATATTTGTAATATCATTTGCAACAGCACAGTCGAGAAATATGGTGAACGTGCTTGGTTCCATTTAAATAATTATGGCTACAGCAAAATCGAAGAGAAACTCGAACAACTAACCCAAGTAGTATTTTATAATAAAGAAAGTTGTATCAAGTTTAGAGATATCACTAGAGAATATATTGTTAACAATGGAGGTCAAATGGAATGGAACGGTTACGTCAGATATATGAAGGATCACGACAACAAGGCAGAGCGTGAAAATAAGTTAAGAATGAGTTTGAAGGAGGCCAAGGGAAAGATTAGTATTTATGGAGAGAATCTAGGGTCTTATTGCAGCTTGTTCTTGGAGAATAGAATGGTTTGGGAAAACTACACCGACCATCAAAGGATCGCTGAACTCAAGGTCGACCTACCTAATTTTATCACAACACAATTTGTTGATAAATATAATAAAACAATTACAAAGGGTAATACGAAATCGATCGAGGAATGGGTCAAAGTGTTAAGGGACATTGGTGAGGTAACTTACAAAAATTATTTAGATAAGAAGGAGAGAGAACAGAAGGTTACACCAAGGGTCAAAGAATTTAACAGTGTTAAAGTACAAAATGCTGTAGAGAAATCAGATAAACCAACTGATGAAGAAAAGGTTAGAAAACCATTTGTTAAGGGGAGGCTCACATGCTTTTACTGCAAGAAAGAGGGACATGTCAGAAACAGTTGTCCAGATCTCGCCAAATAATATATTGGTACCGATAGGTATGCAGAAGCCTACAAGTTTTGCAATGGGTGTGCGTATAGGTAAATATTATTTACGTGCATTGATAGATACTGGTTGTAACGTCAGTTTGTTAAACAACAAGTATTGTTATGGGTTGAAAAGTTTTGTAAAAGATATTAAGGTCAGGTATCCAATTGGTGATGTTTATAGAGAAGACGTTGCTAAGAAGAGTGTGGAGGCTACTGTTCAGTTTAAAACATTGGATGGAAAAATGTCAACCGATATGAAGTTTTATGCAATTAACATGGAACATGATATGGTAATCGGGTTGGATTTTTTGGTAGATTCGGTACAGTCGTTACGTATTGAAGATCCTCACATTATCAAAATATTTAAGGATGCAGATAATAATAAATTAGCTCATAAAGTTAAATTAACCTTATTCGAAAAGGATAAGAAGGTCGTTGATAATCATTCGAAGGTGGTAGCCAGTGGTAGTTTTAAAGATCTACAGGTGAATGGTAGAATGTTAATGTCGATGAAGACGTTAAGGATAACCGTAATGAAAGGTGCGGTTGTTAACGACAAAGTAAGTGATCATGTTGAAAAAACTGATAAAGTAGTTAGTGAAGTAGCAGCTAGCAAGGAGGTCCCAAAAGTAGTGGATGAATTAAACAAAGAACAGCTGGATGCGAAAGTTAAAGAATACACGGATTGGATAAATAATAAGTTCAAGGATGTTTTGGTGGAATCATTACCAAATTTCACACCTCCAGTCAGACCAGGGTTAGATATGCGTATTAAGGTCAAGGAGAACAGTCAGCCAGTCAAAGTTAACTACGGTAAAAGGTCACAACAAGAAGAAGATAACATCTTCAAGAAAGTAAAAGAGTTATTGGATGGAGGGATTATCGAAGAGAGTACGTCAGCCAATAGCACATCAGCGTTTTTAGCAAAGGGGGATAGATTAGTTTTCGACTACAGGTTAAAGAACAACCAAACTGTAGAATTTCAATACCCAATGCCTAATGCGGATGAACTTTTATATAAAACGAGAAATGCTAAATACATTTCTAAATTAGATTGGAAATCTGGGTTCCATCAATTGTTATTACATCCAGACGATCGTCATCATACAGCATTTAGAGCCGGTGGTAAATTGTATCAATTCACTAGAGCTCCATTTGGTTTGAAGAACTCTCCAGCGTATTTTAATAAGTTCGCTCAATCAGTTTTGGAAGGGTTTGAAAAGTTTTTAGCTATTTACGTGGATGACATTGTTATTTATTCGGATACGATAGAGGAACATATGGAACATATTAAATTGGTTTTGGAAAGATGCAGAAATAGCAAGGTCTATTTAAACAGTAAGAAGTGTCAATTCTTTTGTATTGAAGTAGAGTTTTTAGGTCATGTTATTAGTGCGGAAGGTATTAAAGTAAGAGATTCGAAGATAGCAGCCATTCAGGAGTATCCTATTCCTGCTACAATTGGTGAAGTTAGAAGCTTCTTAGGTTTGTGTAATTATTATAGACGGTTTATTCCTAGTTATACAGAACTTACTGCAGGTCTTACATCCATTACGTCAGGTAAGAATTATACCAAGTTAAAGCTTTCAGATAAGATTATAGACGATATCGAGAAATTAAAGTTGGCTTTAGCGTCGTCCAAATTGTTGATCAAACCAGATCCAAAGAAGACTTTCCATGTCTATATTGATGCAAGCGATGTTGGTACCGGTTGCATGATCACTCAGTTCGACAGTGATAATAATGAACGTCCAGTATTGTACGACTCGAAGAAATTTAATAGTTTTCAGAAATCATATACAACTACCGATAGAGAATTATTAGCGTTAATCAATGTATTGAAAAAATTTGATTATTTATTGTTAGGTAATAAATTTATAGTTTACTCGGATCATCTTAATTTAGCTCATTATCAAACTAAACAAGAGACACCTAAAAGGTTAATTAGATGGTTAGACTTAATCAGTATGTTCAGTTACGAGTTAGTACACATCGAGGGTAAGAAGAATATTGCAGCAGATTTTCTCAGTCGTAACGCCAAATTTTATTATGATTGGGACGATGGGTTTTTAGATCAAGTTAAGGAATCGTATGAAGTTGCGGATGAATACAGTAAGAAATGGTTAGAGACAGCAAAATTAAGAAATGATATGTTGGAAAAAGATGGTTTATTATACTTAATTGATGCTACAACAGATTCAAGAAGACTAGTTTTAGTGGACAAAGCTCAAATTACTAAAATTTTAGACGAAGGTCATCTTTCTAATTATGCAGGTCATCCAGGAGTATATAGACTCACAGCACGAATCAGACCAAGTTTTTATTTTCCCAAGTTTTGGAAACGTGTTAAAGCTTATGTAGCCGCTTGTCCAGAATGTCAAAAGGTTAGAATCGAAAGGGAGAAGCATGGTTTACTAAATCCGTTACCAATACCTGCTAGACCTTGGAATGATGTTACGATGGATTTTCTCTCATTACCTACAACTCAAGATGGTAATGATTATTTGTTTGTAGTCGTGGATAGACTTAGTAAAATGGTCAAGTTAATACCTTGTAAGAAGACAATTACCGCTAGTCAAGTAAGCAAGTTGTTTTGGGATAATATCGTTTGTTCATATGGATTACCACTCACTATTGTTTGCGACAATGATAAACTATTCACAACCGAATTATGGGGCGAATTAATTAAAGAAACCGGAATGGTATTAAAAACCACAGCACCAGGTAGAGCTCAAGCAGACGGCCAAACTGAAAGAGTTAACAGAACCTTATTAGATATATTAAGAAAAAGTGGTCAAAAGATGGTTAATTGGGATAGGGAAATTAAGAGTACCGAGTTTGCAATTAATAGTACAGTCAACACATCAACACAGAAAACACCAATGAGCGTAGTTTATGGTTACGAAGCAAGAGTACCATTAAATATTAATACAGTATATAATGTCAGTTATACAGAAGGATTACAGGTATTTAGACAGGTTGCTCAAGATAATATGGTTGATGCACAGATTGAACAGGCTATTCAATACAATAAAGACAAAGAGGATATTGAATATGAAGTAGGTGATTGGGTATGGGTGAAAAGAAGTAAATTGGATACATTTAAATTGGAAATAGACAAAGATAAGTTACTTTCAAGATATTGTGGTCCATTTAGAGTAATTGAAGGAAAAACTCAACTAAATTACAAAATCAGATTGTTGGATAGAGCTAATGGCGTCAGAGTAGTTCATGTCAATGATATTAAACCATTCATTGAAGAAGATAGAAACTTATTCGTAGATAGAGGACGTAAAACTCAAATCCCTGTGGTAGAAGAAATAGACACAATCGTTAATAAGAGAAATAGAGTATATGGTAAAGGGTCAAGAATCGAATATTTAATCCGTTACAAGAATGCTGGTGAAGATAACGATGTATGGGTTCCACAGCACTACTTAGAAGATTGTCCTATGTTAGTACGTCAATTTGAAGATGAGCTTGCAAAAACAGTTCCAGTTGAGAATAATTTTTTAGCACACCAGAAGAGACTTAATAAACAAGTTTAACACGATAATCAACTCTTCCACAAACATAAAAAAAAAAAAAAAAAAAAAAAAATTTCATTTAATTTTGGGAATCTTGTCAAGAAAGGGGATATGTAATGTAATCACTGCTTATTATATATCATTTTAGTTAATAATTCAAGATAAGAATCATTTTATATATCAAACACATTAATCAACGAAGTTTAAATACTTTTTATAATTTAAATCAAATAATTAAAATTATAAAAATATTTAAAATAATTTTTCAAAAATTAAAAATTTAAAAATTTTAAAAAAATAAAAATAAAATAGTTTTTCGGTTTTAGTTCGAAAATACATAATATTCATAACTTAAATAATTATCGTTTTATTACTTTAATAAATATTATTTACTTTAAATAACTAATAGATTTGTACCTACATTACATATGCTCCCAAATTGGACCATTTCCTCGTGCATATTACATCACACGGAAGATTTTTATAAAAAAAGATTGTTGTCTGAGGGATTCGAACCCTCGCATCAATGATATTGCAGCCTTAATGCAACCCCTTAGACCAACTCGGGCAAAACAACATTAATATGTTGATTTAGAATAATGACCCCCATAAGGTTTGAAAAAATAAAGTAGGAGTTCAAAAGGGAAATTTCTTAATTTATACATGTATTAATGTGAAGTTGGTCACCTCGCTCCTTAGTTTTGCATATTGCACTTTATTACATTGCATTAAAAAAAATTTACGGCTAGTTTTATAAATGTAATAACTGAACTACATATAAAAAACTTTTTTTTTTTTAAAAATAAAAAAAAAATTTATATTTTTTAAAAAAACTCTCACTACCACCAAATTTTAAACAGAAACCCCTTTTTTAATTTAATAATAAAATTTTTTTTTTATTTTTTTATATTTTTTATTATATTTTTTTAAATTCAATTATTAATATTTTCAATTACTCTATATAAAATAAAAAATAATATAAATTAATTCAAGCAACAAACAAATAGGTAATTGTATGTATATATAATATGTGAAAAAATAAATCCTAATGAATTTTTCCCTTTTCATATAGTCATAAACTTTATTTTGTTTATTTTTGTTTTTTGTAAATAGTTTTATAAATAACCCTGTACATTAAAAAATACATCTCATAAACTTTATTTTTTTTATTTTTTACACACCAATTTAAATAATAATAAAATAAAAAATGGGATATGGTATAGTAGCTTTTGTACTTTTTGTTGTTTCCTTGTGCAGATATTTATATCTTAAATCACATTTAAAGGACACCAATAACAACTCCAAAACTTTCAACGATTTCCAACATGATTCTTTATTTTAAAGAATACCTAATCCAAACAAATCACAACCATCAACCATTACAAATAGTTCAGAGAAAGTAGTAATAATTGAAAGTTATCCAATGGTGCCGAGAATTTGGGAAAATTTAAATTATTCAGGTTATTTAAAGTTTAGACCATATATTGCTAATATGAAATATATTTCAATTTACCTATTATATTTAGTGGTTTCATTTTTACCTTATTATAGTATCAATTATTTCGATTTCTATAATGGTAAGTAATAAATTAAAATAATTTTATATTTAAATATAAAATCACCCAAATTATTAACTTTTTTTATTATTTTTATTTTAATATCAAAAATGAAATCAATTTTATATTTCAACACCATTAAAATTAAATTTAGATCAATTAAATTCAATTTCGCCGATCCAAAATAATTTACAACCATTGGATGGTTTTATTTCATTATATGATCAATTAATGAAAGATTGAGAATTAGTATCCTCCACTTACACTCCAGGTACATCATGGATTAGTCAGGTATCAACAAACAATAATTTACAACCATCGGATGGTTCTATTTCATTATATGATCAATTAATGAAATTTAGTTTAAATTTTTATCAAGAACTAAACCAGGAGATATAATAATCGATGATCACTTATCAATATCATCAGATTCATCTTCAATAGTTTGGGATACTTTCCTTAAATTCAAAATTAGTGTAAAAGGTGTAAAAGTTCCATGCAAATTGTAGTAAATGTCCAAAATCTGCTTTTGATTCGAATTCTTTTAAACATTTTTAATCAGTGGTTTATGATATGTAATCAGCATCAGTGTTAGGATTTGAATTAGCATTGGGATTATGATTAGCATCAGCTTTAGCATTAAGATTAACATTTGGATTAGTATCAGCATCAACAACAATATCATATTATTATAATGTAATAATAAACAATAGTAATATTCAATAGTAATAACAATAGTAATAATAATAATAATCATTTTTTCTTTAAATAAATAAAAATTTTGAATTTTTTTTATAACAATTCAAAAGGATAATAATTTTTAAAAAAGAAAAAATAGTATAAATTTATATATAACAATTAAAGAATTTTTAAGATTTGCATTTTATTGTTCTTTAACTCCATTATTTTCAACTCCTGTTCTTTTGACTTTGCATATGATATGATACAGCTCCCGAATGAATGTGTAAATTTTGATGTTATATGAATTTGGCATACGTACGTGTGGTACTGGGAAAGTTGTTGGTAAAGCTTCCATTTTCTCCTTTTATATAATCTGTCACCTATAGTTGCAAAGTTTTCTAATATCATGAAGTCTTTTTATCTGATGTTGTCTGTTATTTTATTAGCTTTTGTGACAGATTGTTTTTATTTTTTCATAAAAAAAAAACCAATGAGAAAATTTTTTTGATTTGTAATGAATCGATAGTCTATATCTTTAAGTAAAAATGTATTTTATAACTGCTTTTTAATAACTGCCAATTCCAGTATTTTGTAACTGCTTTTTAAATAATAACTACCAATGCCAGTATTTCAACTACTTAAGAATTAGCTTCTAGAACTAATCCCATTCAGTATAAATACATCAAGTCCTCAGTCTAAAACTTTAGAGTTTCTTAGTTAGTTTATTTTAGTAAGTTATATATATATATGTTTAAACAAGTAATAAAGATAAATAACAAATAAAGTATATTTCAGTGTTCTCATAATTGTTTTAAGTGTTTTTAAGTAATTTAAGTGCTTTAGTGTTTATTATTTAGTTTGTGTTAATATATTTTATTGCGTCTCCATAAGTGTTTATTTTAGAGTTTATTATATTTTCGTTAAGTATTTTAGTTGTGTAACTTCATAATCATATACCTTTTCATTACAGATGTAATGAAGCTCTATACAGCTTACTAATAATTAAGTATATATATATGTAAAATAAGTATAACAAATAAACAACAAATAACAAATATTATATGTGTAATGAAATTGTAGTTTATTTAATAATATAGAATAAAAAAACCTCTGAAGTTTTAGACTGAGGACTTGAGGTATTTATACTGAATGAAATTGGTTCTAGAAGCTAATTCTTAAGTTATTTGGAAACACTGGAATTGGTAGTTACTAAGGGGGCAGTTATACTACACAGATTCATTATATTTATAATGATACCTCATAAAGATAATGAAAGTTTTCAAATAATAATTCTTAAAATAGTAATAAGAAGTTTTATAATAATATCTCTTAAAATAGTAATAATAAGTTTTATAATAATATCTCTTAAAATAGTAATAATTTTCCATTTATAATATATTTAGTTGAAATTGTCACATGTTTAACATATATATATACATTCATGTCAACTTGTTTATGATAGTATAAATACTTCAGTAATAATTCTTTATTTATGACTTATATATAAAATATTAACTTCTAATAACAATAACAATAAATAATATAATAACTAAAATACTTAAATAAAGGTTTCTAAACTATATTTCTATTATAACTATATTTCTTTATTAAACTTAGTAATATTCCTGTAACTCCGAGTGGAGCTCTAACTGTAACGATCTTTCAGATAGGGGTTCCATTGTAATATAACTGTTGTTATATTTAAGAATTCTAATATAATGAATTAATTACTAAACAAAATGTATTATAAACTAAATGTAATTAATTATAATAATAATAAAACACAAAATAAAGATAAAATAAAATATAATAAAACCAAAATAAATATATAAAAATATTTAAAAATTATATTTTAAAAAATAACTAATCTTTATTAAAACTAAAAATTACTAATTATTATTATTTATAAATTCTATAACTAAACTATTACTTATTACTTTCTCTATATTATTCTCTCTCTTATTCTCTGACTAAAAATTATTTTTGAATTTTAATTTATACTGAAAAATATTATTTTTAAAAAATTAAAATTAATTTGAAAAAAATATTTAATTTTAAAATGTGTTTACAATTGATGATAAATATAAAATAATAGATGTGTGATTATTTAAATTAAAAATGTGTCTAAATTTTATGATAATTATAAAATAATATATGTTTGTCTTTTTCTAATAAATGTGATATATGTTTATGATTATTATAATAAATTTGAATTGATTTTAGAATTGTTATTATTTCACACCATGTGATATAATAACAATTATAAAATCAATACCAATTTACAATAATAATTATAAACGAATATCACATTTATCAGATATAAACACACATTCATTATTTTATAATCAATGTCAAATTTTAACACATTTAAAATAATATTTTTCAGTATAAATTAAAATTCAAAAATAATTTTTAGTCAGAGAAAATAATATAGAGAAAGTAATAAGTAATAGTTTAGTTATAGAATTTATAAATAATAATAATTAGTAATTTTTAGTTTTAATAAAGATTAGTTATTTTTTAAAATATAATTTTTAAATATTTTTATATATTTATTTTGGTTTTATTATATTTTATTTTATCTTTATTTTGTGTTTTATTATTATTATAATTAATTACATTTAGTTTATAATACATTTTGTTTAGTAATTAATTCATTATATTAGAGTTCTTAAATATAACAACAGTTATATTACATCCATCACATATTAATGTTGTTTTGCCCGAGTTGGTCTAAGGGGTTGCATTAAGGCTGCAATATCATTGATGCGAGGGTTCGAATCCCTCAGACAACAATCTTTTTTTATAAAAATCTTCCGTGTGATGTAATCTAATGCTATGAAGTTACCCTTTTTCCCAAGTGGCATTACAGTCTCTTAAAACACCATGAAATGTAAATCTGCACTAATTTTATAAATTACAATAATAAAAATAAAATTTTTTCACTTTTTTTTCATTTTTTTTTTAAAATTAAAATTTTTTTTTTTTTTTTGATTATTTTTCGTCATGTTTTTTCAATGGCATATTAAAAAAGATAATAAACCTTAAATAATAAATGTTTTTTTTTACAAATATAAAAGGAAAATGTGTAGCAACAATAATAATATTTTTAATATAGTTTTTAATGATGTAACAATAAATGAAATATTACAAAATATTATTCAATTAAAAGAAAAAGATGAAACAAATAAAAGTGAATTAGAAATATTATATAATATCATAAAAAGAGAACAGAGGATATTGGAGATCAAATATAAAGTATTATGTAAAGACCAACTATACTATGTCTTTAAATCTGGCGAAATCAAGAAAAAAATAATAGATTTCAAGTTTATTGAAGAAATTGGCAGAGTTATCCAAACCGACAGGTTAGAGAATTTACTTGAAAATAAAAGTATCACCAAATCCCAAAGATTCCACTATATTGCAAAGTTAACCACATTCCAAAATCAAAATCAAATAACAGTTAATAGTTTTATAAATGGTGTATACTCTCAATCATTGCAACATTTTACATATGACGGCCTAACAGTTGAAGAACCTAAAATCGGCAATCACAGCTCCATTTCCTCATTTTTAAAGTATCAGTTCGAAAAAATCAACAAGGCATTGGTTCAAGATAATTCTGTTGACTTTTTTAGTGTTATTTTCAAGAGTACAAATATCGATCAAGTTCTAGAAAACATTAGTGATCTGACAACCACTGATAATGTGAATAAAGAACAATTAGAATCATTATATAATATAATCAAAAGAGAAAGAGATCTCTTAGAAAAGAAACTAACATCGATTCAAAATGATAGAATAACATCAATTATGGAAGAATCAGTAAAGAGTAATATATTTCTATTTAGTTTTGTCGAAGAAATCGGGAGGCAAGTTCAAAAGGATAAACTTAATTCGATCGATTTAGAACATAAAGCCTCTTTTTCAAAAAAGCTTTCAGAATTTCAAAATAAGAACCAAATAACTCCATTCAAATTTATTAGAGGTGAATATTCTCAATCATTACAAGAATTAACAATTAATAATTTAACTATTGAAGAACCAAAGATTGGTAAAATCAGTATATCATCATTATTAAACCACTTATTTGACAAAGTTAACAGCTCAATTAATAAAACATTAAATAGTAATATTGATAATAATGGTGGTGATTGTAATAAAAATAATAATTTATCAAATAATACTAATAGTGATAATATTAATAAAGAAAAAAATATAAAATTAAAAAATAAAAACTCACCAAAATTATCAAATCCTTTACCTTTCATAAATGAAAAAAATAGAATATTGGGTTGTTTAATTGAAGCTATAGTCGAAACTACAGTGTCTACAGGTAAAATTTCAATCGTTAACTTTCCAAAAGATAATCCACAATTAAATTTGATCAAAGACATTGTTTTTGCTAATGGTTTCATTGTGGTCATTAAAAGTTTAATTAGCTATACTGATGAATGGTTTCAGTCTTTTATTCAAACAGATGTTGGTAATGAAAAAAAAAGGCTAATCAAAAGTTTACATTCAAGATTACTGGTTTCGATTGTATTGAATATAGAATACCAAAGAAGATTTTTAATGGATTCATTGGAGCCACATGGTTTAGATAAATTTACTGTTTTTACAAAACTCAGAGAATTAATCAAGCTTCAAAACAAAAGAGCCAAGATATTTAAAGATATTAAAGATTTTAGAGAATGTATTCAGTCAGTGAAGAGCTTGTTTCGTTTTCAAAATATAGAGGTTCAAAATAATGGAGGTAATATTTTAATAAAGATTCCAGAGTTGTCTTTGTTTGATAAAGAAGTTTCCGAACAGTTTTACAATACATTGACAGAGCTAAAAAAAATTACTGCACCATTACCTATCCCACAAACTAATATCAACTGTAAGCAATAGTAAAAACATATTAATTATTGGTTTATTTTTTATACTAACAAATCTATTTATTTTAATAGGTAAAAGTATTTCAACAATATTATCAAATCAGCAACCCGTTGTAAAAATTAATTTAATTGAACAGATTATAGATTCATTTATCAACTGTAATAATACCACCCAATTTATTTCCTGTTTAATCGAAATATATCAAACAAAATCTGATGTTTTAAGAACCCTAAAGACACTTTCAAAGCATGATGTTTTTATTAATTTAGTACTCAAGCATAAGAAAGATGGTGTCAATTTATTAAATCAATTACCACATGGATACGAACACAATAAAGAGATTGAAAAACTATTTGTAAAAATTAAGGTGGCCCTTCTTTTGCAAGTTTATTATCAAAACGATATACTTGGCGAAGTATATTACGTGAAAGACCATATAAAATCAAATCATCAACTCAAAAATGACATAAAGAAGATGAACAAGTCATTTCATTCAGAATCAAATCAATTACTACAAATGAACTTTAAAGATCTTTTAGACTATAGGACTTCATCCAATTTATTTAAACCATTCAAATATACAATTAAAGATACTGATGAACTTATAGAGGTACCAGAGTTGACTATATTCAGTAGAATATCAAGCTTATTTAATTATTTCTGGAGTAGGCTTAAAGAAATCACAAAAGAGCTGGTTGAAAGACCATTTCCATCACCCACATTATCACCTTCAACAACATCAACAGTAGCACCATTTTCACCAAATTATAGTGATGAAGAAGAACCAAATTATCAAGAAAATGAATATTACAGTTTATGTTATTCAGCAGTTTTAGAACAAGGGGGTTTTTTATTAGGTTCAAAAGAATTGAAAATAGCTAAGAGCTTAGTCAATATAAAGAAGTATAAAGAACAAGAAATTCTATATGTCATCAAAGCACAATCAACATTAAGAGGTTTAATTGGCAATCAATTCATTATTTGTTGTAATTCTGAGTGTGAAAATTTAGAAAAGTTATTAATTAAATTATATCTTTTATTATTATTTAATAATGAATTTCAATTAAGAAGTTTGAAACACTATTTTAGTAAAGAAGAAACTGAACAAAGATTTGATGAACTTGCACATCTACAAACAATGGCTCAAGAATCATTCTTCAATAATCCTTATAATTTCACTGACCCAGTCCAGAGTTTATTCCTTACCTTCAAAGATAAAATCTTGGTTTTCAATAGACCTACAATTTTGACAGAGTTTGAAAAAACCCTTGAGGAGTTTAAAAATATTGCTGGAAACAAGTTTAAAGGCTGTTCCGCCAACCCTATCAGACTCAATAGACAAGAGGAAATAATTAAATCGTGCATTAAAGAGTCTTTTAAGATTTCAAGCATTCTATACAATTTAAATCAAGTTAAAGTGGATATTCCATTTTTAGGTGTATTGAAAGAAATATACTCAGGCTATGATTTACACAAAGAAAAATCCTCTATTTTTATCAGCACTCAAAATGAAATAAAAAAGAAGTTTTCTCAATATAAAATACTACATGGAGCCATTATTTCATTAAGACTTTTAAATGTAGTAAATTTCATTCATCAAAAGAATACCATATCAAAAACGTTTTCAAATAATATATCAATACAAAGGTTCATCAATAAATTTGAAAAGTGTGCTAAAATTATTCCAATTAAAAGTTTAATAGGTGGGTCCTTTAATCAAAACTCGTATAAAACCATAGATGAATTTTCTTCAATTAAAATTCAAAGTATTCATCCATCAGTTGAAAAGTTAATCAAACATTTATTTTACGAAATTCATGTTTATATTTGCCAAATTAATTTAAGTGAAAGCAAACTTCAATCAATACCTCAATTAAAACATCAAATTAGAATGGAGGATTCAAATGTAAGTGCACACATTAATTTATAAAATTTTAATTGTTCAATTTTTATTAATAATATTCATTTAGGTTGGAAGTATTGTAGATTTAGTTTTAAAAACATCCCCACAAGCAATTCCTTTTCTCCAAACATCAGATAGTTTTATTAACCATCAAGATTATTTAGAATCACTAAAGATGTCGGTTATAGAAAATTTTTTAAGAAATATCCAATGTGCACTTTACGATTTTGATGAAAAACCATTTATTTGCCAACATGATGGAATACTTCAAAATCTACATCATCTTAATATGAACTCTATTGTTTCAATCAAGTCTATATCTAAAACTAGTGACTCTTTAAAGGTTTCTTTTAGAACTAATTTATCATCAAATGATGACGAATTAGTAGCCAATGACCTTGTATTATTTAAGCTATTTCAATCAAACTCAAGTATAAATTTTGTAATTGGAATTGTTGTTGAAAGTGATTATTTTACAAGATTCAAGAATGGTGAAAGAATTAATAACAATCCCCAACAAACTGTATCAGTTTTATTTAAGGTATCAAAAAATACTCAAGATTTTATTGACCAAATTTATACCTATTTCGATAGTGTTTCAGTAAATGAAAAACTTATATTCTATTCAAAAATTACAACCACAGTTACATTCCAAAGACAATTAGAGGCTCTTTCCTCCATTAAAGATAGTCCAATGTGTGATTTTATTATTTCCCCAACAAAAGAAAAAGATGCATCATTAAAACACAACAAGTATATTTTATCACCTTTATTAGCTAAACACTACATGAATGCTTTAAATGATCAACAAAGAAATGCAGTAGATCAATCTTTATTCTCTGAAGGCATTACATTAGTACATGGTCTAACCGGTACTGGAAAGACTCATTTGGTTCTTAATTTAATATCAATATTATTGGCTGTTAATCCAAATTTCAAGATTTTGGTATGTGCTCCATCTCATGGATCTGTAGATGAAATATCAAGACGATTAATGAAGTCTAAATTTTATAGCAACAACATGGAGCAATATTCACCAGTTATTACTAGAATAGGTAGTTTAGAAAACATTTCAAAAGATATACACCCAATTTGTCTACTTGGCAAGGAGTCTAAAATTAGAGCCAATACATTAAAAAACACAAATATTTGTTTGTCGACATTATCTGCAAGTGCAATGGATTTTAGAAGAAATCATTTTATTCCATCTATTATTATTATTGATGATGCAACACAATCATGCGAAATATCTACCATCATTCCTTTGGCCTCTAGTTCAAATGTTAAAAAGCTAATACTTGTTGGTGATCCAGTACAATCATTACCAAAAATACTCTCTAAAGATTCAGTCGATAATGGAATTAATATATCATTATTTGAAAGATTATCAAAAGCCATAGATGTTCAAATATTAGATACCCAATATCGTATGCATCCATCAATATCTCATTTCTCATCTAAACATTTTTACTCTGGTAAATTAAAAGACTCTCCAAACTTAATACAAAACAATACATTATTTAATCAAGATCAAAAATATACCCCACTTGAATTTTATGATATTATCGACAGTCAAGAAGAAAAATGCTTTGGTTCGATAAAGAACGAATCAGAAATCGAAACGGTATTTAGAATTATCAAAAAACTAGTTCAAGATAATCCAAAACTCAAAGAATTAACAATTGGTATCATCACTCCATACAAATTACAAAGAAATGAGCTTATTTTATCAAAAAAATATTTCAACCAACCTATTGATATTGAAATTAATACAATTGATGGCTTTCATGGCGTTGAAAAAGATATTATTATCTTTTCATGTGTTAGAAGTGAACGACTGGGTTTCCTTAACGATAAAAGTCAAATTAATATTGCTATAACCCGTGCTAAATACGGCCTATTCATAATTGGTAATAAAAACTTATTAGAAAAAGATACTATTTGGAGTCAACTTATTAAATATATTTCAGAAATTGGTAAAATACAAACATATAATATTAAAGATATCAAAAACTTTTCAAAAGCAACAAAAGAATTTAATATTTTACATCAAGAGAGTTTAGCTACAGGTGAATTTTCACATTTCAAAACTAGAGAAGGTACCCGTAATCAAAACGAAGATTTCAATGAACAATATGATATAGAATTCAATGAAATTGACACTGACAGCGATGAAGATGATGATAATAAGTGGTATAGAGACGATACGAATTTTGGAGAAGATAATTATAAATTATTAAATAAAGAATTAGAACAAATAGGTGGCTATGGTAAAGAAATTCAAAATCAAATTATTTTATTATTGAATAACAACAATAATGAAAGTTTTATATCAAATTTTTCAAAACTACTTTTTCATTTAAATGATATAGATTTACAATCAGTGTTCAAAAATGAAATTATCAAAAAACTTAGAAAGCTAACTGATGAAATTAAATTGTATAAAATTCAGTTTAAAGAATATTCCATTAAAGCAATGCCACCTCTTTCAATTTCACAAAGATATCTAAATCAAATCGAAGCACTTTTAACAACATTAAAAGATACTAGAAGCGATATAAATAAACAAATTGGTTTTGAAAGATTAAAAAAACTATTAGAAAAAGAATTTACCACTGCAGATATTCAACTATATGGTTCATTTTTATATGGCTTGTCTCTCAAAGGAGGTGATTTAGACGTTTGCTTTACATTAAAGCAAATGGGAGATAGAGCTTTATTTTTACAAGTTAAAGATTTCCTGAATAATAGTAAAAAATACAAAATCATCGATCTTAGACTCTCGGCAACCATTCCAATTATTAGATTTTTAGAATTAAATACAGGCACTCAATTTGATATGTGCTTCAATCATGAAATCGGTATATATAAATCAAATTTAATTAAAGAATATAGCGATCTAGATCCACGTTGCAAGGAGTTAATTTTATTAGTTAAATATTGGGCACAACAAAAAGATATCAATGATGCCTCAAAAGGGACATTTTCATCATTTTGCCTCGTCCTAATGGTGATCCATTTCTTACAATATGGTATATATCCACCAATTTTACCCAATTTAGAAGCAGGCTCCAACAAAAAAGATCATTTAAAAGAAAATATTATCATAGAGGATCACCATGTCAGATACATCAATTCGAAACTTATCAGTTTTAATCCAAAGCTAAACAAATCCACAACAGCTCAGCTATTCTATCAATTTTTTAAATATTATCTTCAATTTAATTTTAATGATTTCGCAGTCAGTATCACCAAAGGTCCAACTAAAAAAGAAGATGTTTATATAGATAGACCGACAGGTAAAAAGAAAGTTAAACCGATCATTGTTCAAGATTTATTTTCATCAAAAATTTCAACTGCTGGTATAAAAACCAAAACCTTCAATATTATAATTACCGAAATATCTTTAATGGAGTTTAATTTAAGAGAAGGAAAACATGATTTGGATTTAATATTAGATTCAAACACTTCATTAATTTTAAATGATATTATCTAAAATAAATAAATAAAAAAATAAAAAAAAAAAGTCTTTTCATTTTATTATTAAAATTCACGCTCGAATGTGCGCAAAAATTATTGTTTATTTAAGTTGTGTGTGGATTTTTTTTTATTTTTTTTATTTTTTTTTAATTTTTTAATTTTTTTTTGTTTTTTTTTTTTTTTTTGTTTTTAATAAAATATTTTTTATTTTTTTCAAAACATATCTTTCTATCTTCTCTATTCATTCACCTCTTATAGTAATTTAATAAACTTTATTTATTATCCTGTTAATATATAATATTAGAAATCATATTTTATTAATACTAAACATAATAAATCCACACCCCTTTATTTTAAACATATATAGTAATTCTCATTTTCGTTAATAATATACATATATTTTTTTTTATTTTTTTATTTTTTTTTTGTTTTTTTTATATTTGTTAATAATTTAGATATAGTAGTTAAAATTATAATAGTATTATAATAGTTTAATTTTATAAAATGGATTCATCTCCATACCAAGAAGATTTTAATGGTGGATCGCTATACTATTCAGATTTACCCATAAAATCACAGCTACAAAAAGATAAATATAGACACTATGGAAGAAAAATATTATTTTATTTATTATTGGCATATTTTATTACAGCAACAGTTATGTAGGTGATCATTTATTATACTAATAATAAATTAATACTCCAATGACTAATATTGTTACGATTACAACTTTAGGTTTCCTTTTTTAATTACAAACTTAACCTTTTGGTTTTGGTTAATTCATATAATTTATTTCGAATTAGATTTAACAAGTAGTAAAAACAATATATTTGTTCAAATTATTCATGGTTTAAGTTTTGTAGGTAGTTTTGTAGTAATGGTAACATCCATTATATTATTAGTAATTTTAAATCCAGGTATGTAAAATATATAATATAGTTTGATGATTATCAAATAAATATGATTTTTTATAGGAAATAGGAATCGGAATTAGAGACATAGGGACATAGGAATTAATTTATTAATTATATAATAATATCGATTTTATTTAGATTTTATTTCAAATAGAGCAAAAATAGAACATCATAGTGTGGCTTTTGCTTGGTCACAAAATGTTTTAATACATTGGGTACCACCAGTTTTATTATCAATAGATTTATTTTTACATAAAGAGCATATTAGAAAAAGACATCGTTTGATTTTAAAGCGTAGTGTAAGAAGAGCCTGGGTTAAAGATATTTTCAAAGTATTTTGGTGTGTATTTGCTCCATTTGTTGTAGTTGGAGCTTGGTTTGGTGCTGGATTTACAATTGATAAAGGTAAATATCTCCTAATAATAATTGAATAATACCAAGTAATAATTATTTTTAAATAGTTTATACTAATTATTTTTTTTACAGTTTATGGTGTTCATAATTATAATTTAACAGCTTTATTATGCTCTATGGGTGCCATGGATGTTGTTGTAGGAATAGTTTTTGTATATTTCATAAGAAAAAGAGATGCAGACTCGTATGTCAGATTAAATAATTAAAAAAATAAAATAATAAATTTTAGAAGTCACAAAAAAAAAAATTTCATTTTGGTTTTGATTTGTTTTAAATAGATTCATTATTTTTATATTATACAAATTAATTAAAAAAAAAGTAATTTGTTTAAAAAAGATGGTGTTTTTTTTTTTTGAAGATCATTGTTCATTGACATTCGAATAATTGATTATTTGTATAAAATTGATTTTAAAATTTAAATAAATTAGGTAAAAAAGATAAAATAAACTTTTTATTTTTTTTATTGTAAACCATTTTTTTTTTTGGTAAAATATATGTATTTTATATATAATCATCAAATAAATAAAAAGGGTCGTTTTTTCCCCAATTTATTTATTTTCAAAAAAAAAAAAAAAATATTTTTTTAAAAATTTAAATTTTTTTTTTTTTTTTTTCAATTTTTTATTTTCATTTTTTTTTTTATATTTTTATTTTTAATTTTTTTTCATTTCTCTTTTTATATATTTGTTCAATCAAGCATAATTGTGTGTGACCTATCTTTTTTTATAAAGAGAGAGGAAGAAATTACAACAATTAATAGTTGGATAATACAATGGATAAAAGAAATAATAATAACAATAATAATGACCAAGAAATTGATAATAATATTATTTTAAAATATAATGAAATTCCATTAAAATCATTTTCAGATCATCCTTCAAATCAATGGAGAGAATTTACTATAGAGGTACCAAACTCAGCTAGTAATAATAGTTTTTATAGAGATGAAGTCACAAAGAAGTTTAGTTCAACTCCATACAGATCAGGTGGTTTTAATTTTAAGAAATCATCATTAACCAATGGTAGATTCATAGTTTGGAGAGTAATTAACAATGGTTCAGTATTAGAGTTATCCGAGCATTATTTACATCATTCATTAGAAGGAAATCAAATCAGAGTCCATTTCATTAATTCAAGTATAATTGGTGATATATTCATTCAAGAGTTTAACGAATATGTGGTGATTATGTTTACAACTTTATCAAAATCAATTTATCGTTTTATATTACCACATCCAAATGTTGTTGAATATTCAGATCCAGTAAGTTAAATATAAAATTTGTGTCACAAAATCAAAATTAAAAAATGATATTAATAATAATAATATTTTAATATTTTTAGAGTGTTGGAAATAAAAGAAAAACATCAACCGAAGATATTAGAGTTAATCACCAATCACAACAAAATAGAAATTTCAAATCAATTTTTTCAAATTTAAATAACTCTTCTTTAGATAATCAATGGTCGAGAGTAAGATCAGTAGTACCAGATTCATTTGATATGACTGTTATTAGATATTTTTCACCAACCAAATTAATTATAGGTTCATCAAGCTCGGGAAGTGTTTTTATAGAATTAAGCGATGTTAGACAAGGTGGTGAAATTTCTTTAAAGAGATTCGACTGTAAAGAAAACCAAGGCTTCTTTAGTTGGAAATGGGGTGAAAAACAAGAATATGTTCAAGATATTCAATTATTTAATTATAATAGTGGTACCAATAGTTGGCCATTGGCTTTTATTTTACAAAATAATTCAAAACTTCGTGTTTGGTCGGCTAATGAAAAAAGATTTTTAAATGACTTAACAATTTACCCAGAATCATGGAGCAACAACGAACAATTACAATCACAACAACAACAAAATTCACAACAATCACAATCATCTGACCAATCAGACCAACAACAACAACAATTCATTTTATCAACACATAAAAGATTTAAAATTTATCCAAAATCAAATAATTCATTTTTAATGATAGTTTTCTTTGAACTAGAATCTGAATCACATGTATGTACACTATAAATATGTAAATTAATGGTAGTTATTAATTTTTATGCTAATATAAAATTATTTTTTTTATATCAAATTTATTTATAGTTCCAATTTTATTCAGGTTCATTAGAAAACTTCAATGGTTCAATTATTATTCAATATAAACAAGAAAGATTTTCATTTATTAAAGCAAAGGGATTAATCGATTTTAATATCCACAATGGTTATTTATATTCACTATGGAATCAAGAAAATAATGATAATGAAGAAAATGATGGTGATAATACTATGGATCAAGATGATGAAGCAGATGGCAGTAGAAATAAAACCAATGAAAAGATATTATCATTAAAGCATATTTACATTGGTAATCCAGAATCTGAAAATGTAAATATGGAATTTAATCAATTCTTCAACTCACAAATGTCAAATAATATCGATAAGCTTTATGAATCAACTCAACTTTTCAAAGGAGAATCAGACCAATCATTTTATTTCGATCAATTATTTAACCGTAGTTTATTCTCGCCCATCGCAATTGAAACAGCCTTAAAAGAATATCGTGGTCAAATAGTCGACGCTGCATCAAATAATGATATGGCTATAAATGATGACTATAATTCATTAGAAACATTAGTAGTAAACACTGTAAATCAAGAAGATCTTAGATACAACTCAAAAGATCAATGGTCCAATTTCTATAGACTTTGTGTAAAATATCAAAAATCGATTTGTTTAACTGGTTCTGGTTTGTTTATAGAATCATCTTCATCTATCATCTTTTTAATTAGATCAAATCAATTATCAATTATGAAGCCAATGTCAAAATTGGAGTGTTTCTTTTCAAAGAGTCTTTCAAATAACAGCCAAGTTTACGATGATGAAGAAGGTCAGAATGAATCTGATGAACTTTTTAACCAAATTGTAGATCAATCTTTTGGTTCCAACAAACCAGTCTTGGTTCACGATCTATTATACTTGATGAAATGCTGCTCCTATATTAACAGTTATGTTCAAGATAATTTCAGATCATTTGAATATGAATTATCACATAGTGCCATCAATTTCGCTCTTTTAGGTGAAGCCGAAAAATTAATTACTGTATGGGAAAACCATGAAAACTTTAGTGCAGGTCTTATTAAATTATTCCAATCCATTCAAGAACCATTCAACTCTATAGAAAAATTATTAGAAAAGTTTAATGAGGAATTCAAGAATCACAACAACATGACTATTCCATTACAATCACAAGTTTCCGCTAGAAATACTGACAAAGCTTGGGCTGGAGAATTATTTTCAGATATATTAACCAATAGTTTCCAACAATCTATAGAAATGAAATTCAATGTACTTTCAGGACTTTCATTATTAATAGCCTGTATTTCACATCTTAGAACTCAATTAAATTTAGACCCACAAGTAGTTTTTGATATTGAAAAAGATTCATTACCACAAGCCTTCAAATTATTATCAAACTATTATATTTTAAATTGGTTTAACAGACAAAATTATATAAAATCAATAGATAACACAGAATTTGATAAAATTTATTTAAATGAACAACAACAACAATCATCTTCATCACAAAAGGATCAAGATAAAAGTAGTAGTTTTATAGTTTTAAAAAGTAATAATTTAATAATTTTAAAAAAACTTTATAAATTAAATTCAATATTAACAAAATTATTTTATTTTTATTTAGATACAAATATTTTATCAATTTTAATTAATAATCATTTAAATCAATTTACTTCAAAATTAACATTCTTTGATAATATTGAATGTCAAATTTCAAAATTATTATGTGTCTTGGTTCCACGTAATGATATATTCTCATTATGTTGTTATTTAGTTGAAAAGAATCAATATAAACATTTAAATGTAAGTAAAATATATTTATATATAAATATAATGTTTAAAAATACTAATATTTTATTATTATAACTTTTAGGAAATATTAAAAATTATTTTTAATAATCAAGTCAATGAAAATATAGCACCATTTTATTATTTAATGGGTATTTGCAATGCACATTTTTCCAAATTTAACGAAGCATATCAATGCTTAATCAAAGCAACCGAATCAATTGAAAATGAAAATCCAGAAATGTTAAGAATTTGTTCAATTTCTAGAGATGAATTAATTTGTAATTTATTTGTTGATATATCAAAATTTGATCAAATGTATACCAAAGAAGTATTAATTAGTAACTATTATTTCAAGTGTATCAAAATATTTGAAACCCGTGGCCAACCAGAGTTAATTATTCAAATTAGTTTATTTGCTGTAGAACACTTAAATAGAAATAAAGAAGATTTTATAGATATTGACTACACAAAGAAATTAGAATCTTTATATTCATTAATCTTTAAATACTCGTTAAAGATTAATAAATATGATTTAGCCTTCACCGCCGCCACACAAAATCCAAACAAAGAGATCTCTAATGAAAATAAAAGAAGATTAATATTGACACTCTGTGAAAATGCCGAAATCAAAGATCTCTGTACTCTTCCATTCTCTCAAAAAGATATTGAAGATCATTTATTGGTTTTAGCCTCAAGTCAAGATTTAAATAAGAAACCAGACTACCATACCATTCTTTATGCCTATTATATTAGTAGATGCAACTACCGTAATGCTGCCGTGGTTTTCTATGAACGTTCCCTTAGAATCGATATCGAAGGCCTTGGTAAATCTCGTGGTAAATCAATTTATGATCAACAAAAACTTTTAGATGCCAAATTAGAATTACTCTCAACAACTATAAATTCCTTAAAACTTTTAGATTCATACAACCAATGGATTGAAGTCGACAGCTCATTAGTTAATAAATCAAATATTGGCACAAATAAACAACTTAACTATGCCAAGCAACAAACAGGTTTAGAATCAAAAGATATTTTTACATTGGATGCAATCGAGAAACACTATTCATACTATTTAGCTTGTAAACACCTTTCTCAAGTAGACAGTCAAGTCAATTGCGATTTTGTTTTATCACCACATCAGCTTTTAGAAGAATTGATTGGTCATTCATTATACGATATAGCTTTCTCTTTAGCAATTTCCCACGAATTTAATTTAGGTGTTATCTTTGAATCATTTGCTTTGAATTGTGTTCAACTTCAACTTAACCCACAATCAAATCCTTTTGTTGTCCCCAAATTTGGTATTGGTTTCGATATTTCAAAGTATTACCATTATAATGACAATATTAAAGTTGCTTGGAAGGTATTAGAAGATTATTTAGAACGTTATGATACCGATGCCGATTTAGATTGTTTACCACCATCAATTGTCAATGAAAACTCACAAAAACAAAGTCAACAAGAACTTGTTGCAAATAATCAACAAAAACCAATAAAGATGGTTGGTCTAGTCCAAGAAGGTAGTTTAGTAGATAGAGAAAGCAATGGTTGTTCATTCCATATTGTAGATACTAAGAACTTTTATCTCGATGTTCAATACAATCAAAGAGTACCACCATTCTTTAAAGAAGGAGAACAAGTTATTGTTATTGGAAAAATGGAGGGTGGTAAATTTATTGCCGATAAAGTTTTAGCCAAAAAGGGTCAAGTTAGATATCATGAATCTGTTGCTGAAACTATTCTTTTTGAAGGTTCTTTAGATTTACCAAGTTGGTTAATTCAATGGTTCAATAACGGTAGACAAGAGATTCTTTTCAAACTTTATTTCAAATATAGTCGTCTTTTAGAAGCTTCAAATACTTTAATTAGTTTATTTAATCAAGCAACTATTCAATTAAATAATATAAATAATAATAATAATAATAATAATAATAAGACAGTAACATTTAACATTCCATATGATCTTATAGATCGTTTCCTCATCGAATCCAAAAAAATATTAAAATCAAATGTTATTAACGACAAAGAAAAACAACCATTAGATGATTCAATTAAATCTTTAGAACAAATAATTATTAATTATTTATCAAAATTAAATTAAAAATAAATTTTAAAACTTTTTTTTTTAAAAAACTATACTTTATTAATTTTACATTTTAACTATTATACAATATTGTTTTAAATTTTCTATTATTGGAACTATAGAAATTAAATTCTTTAATATTATTATTGTAGTTTTTATAATTTGTTTTAAATTTTATAATATCATTATCTTCGAAACGTTTAAATTTAACTGAAATTGAATACAGATTTAATTCTTGGCTATTAAGTAATAATGATAAGAGGTCATCCATTGAGTTGATACAGTTTAAATATACATTTCTTATTATTCTATTGACTGGTAACACTTTTTTGAAGATTAAAGCTTCATTAATATTCATTAATATTAAATTTTTAATGGTTTGATTTTCTTGTAATGCTGATAATAAAACTGAATCCATGAAATCTATAGTTTGTAGTTCTAATGTTTCGATACTTGATAAAGGGCTTGTAAATACTTCTTTTAGTCCCTTTGTAAGCTTGGAGGTATCTAAATTTTCATAGCAATTGTTTTTATGACAAAAATTCTTTAATGAAAGGTCTTTAATGGTGCTGTTTGTTTTTAAAGTGTATATCATTGCTTCCCAATCATGTTGAATTGAATTTTCGATTCTTAAGCCACCATAGTCACAATCACATTCATTCTTTAAACACTCGATATTACTATTACTATTTGTAACATTACTTGAATCTTGATTCTGTTTATTTAAACCTTTCAAAATATCGTGAAATAAAAATGAACAAGATAACTTTTTTAATTTGGTCACTTTATTGTTTATTTTTGCGATGGAACATGGATCAACGTGGTCGGTATATGAAACATGTATCTCTTCTACGGTACTGTTATTTTCAAATAGAGGTGTATAGTTCATATGGATATACGAATCTTGGCAATACTTGTCATTTGGTTTTAAATGAATCTTCTTTGGCTTTAGTTTTAAATATTTCTTTAAAGCTGGTTTGGTTATTAAAATACCATTATTGAAAACTTGATCATAAAGAGCACCATTTAATTCAATATTTATATCGCAATTGAATTCTTTTACAAATTTTAATTTTTCTCCTTTAAATTCATCGATGGATATTCTTATATTAAATTCTACATTATTAATATAATTGGTATTGTTTTCTTTTAAAAAGTCTTTTAAATCATCTATTTCGAATTCGTTTAAATTAACTACTCTTTTACATTGAATATTACTTGAGTTAATTAAAAAGTGTTTATATTTTTCTATCGAGTTAAAAATAGTTAATGGATATTCTTTAATTAATTTAAAATTATTATTACAATTATTTTTAGTTGTTGCAGTAGTACAATTATTAACAATATAACAATTTTTGTTATAGTTACTATTAAGTAAAAAATAAGATAGCACTTCATTATTTTTTAATGAAAAATATTTATTAAGTAAACTTGAAATTATTTCACCCCATTTTTTAGATACTAGAGAGTAATTAATAGTTTCTAAATTTCTTCCATTGTGGTAATCTTTTGAATTTAAATTTTTTAAATTTTTGGCGCTATAATATTTATATTTTAATATAGTTTCTAAAATATAATTAAAAATATAGTTTGGAATTTTATTCATTTATTATTGTTTGTTATTATTTTTATTATTATATAAAAAATAATAAAAAATTGTAGAAATAAATATTTTAAAAAATTAAAAAAAATAAAAAATCTTATTATTTATTAAAAAATAAATAAAAAAATAAGTAAAAAATAATTATTTTAAAATAAATGTGGGAGGGGGTTTTTTACTATACAAATCCCAAATTTCTACGAGCAGCAATTCAGTAATATTTTAATTATTGTTTTAAAATAAGTTCTTGTATAAAAAATAATTGTAAAATTATAACAAATAACAAATAGAAAAAATATTTTCTTTAAAATATAAAAAAAAAACCAAATTTTTAGGGTAGTCTTTGAAACTTTTAAACTGGTGGTAAAATGACAAGGTTACAATGATAATTTAAACCAATATTAAAAAAAGATAAATTATTTATTTGATCATGATAAAATTTCTAACTTTTGCAACAATATCTTTAATGACACTATTCAATTGAATTTAAAAAACTTGTGTTATCAAAACATAACAAAAATAAATTTTTAATATCAAAGAAAAATTATAATAACCCCCACAACGAAAAATATATATTTTTTTTTATTCTATATATTTTTTTTTTTATTAAATTAAAAAAAACCATAATTTATATCTAATAATACTTTTTAAAAAAAAATTGTTTAATTTTTCTTAACTAAACAAAATTAAATTAAACTAAAATTATAATGTCATAATAAAAACTAATAAATAAATAAATATTTATTTAAAATAAAAAAAAAAGTTAAATGATAATATTGTTATTGGTCATGATTTAATTTAAAGATTATATAAGTTGTAATGTGTTTGTTCCCTTTTTTTTATTTGAAAGAATCTAAAAGTTAATATAATGGATTTTGTAGAATCATTAATTTAAAAATAAAAAAAACATTTCTTTGAAAAACCGTGGTGTAAAAATTTATTAATTTAATCCCCACAATGGAAATATTTGTTTTTTTAATAAATCTAATAAAAAAAAAAGAAGTGAAAATAAATGTTTGGTTTATTTTTAAATTTTTTATTTATTTATTAATTTATTTATTTATTTATTTATTTTTGTTTAATTTTAAATGGAAGGTAGTTGAAAATTAAATATAGGCTATAATCGGTGGCAGATGGCTTGATTAATGAAAGGGAATACCCTTCAAAAAAAAATACTTACAAAACTATAATTATAATGCCATGGCTATTTTCTAAACTATTAATTTTTTTCTTTATTTTTTTGTTTATTTTTTTTTTTTGTATTTATAAATTTTTCGTAATTGTTGTGTGTAATGAAAAATATTTAAATAATTATTATTCGAATTTTCATAATATTGGGTGTTAATTTTTAAAAAAATGACTTAAAAATATGTATAATAATTTTATTTAAAATATCTTTAATTTGTTGTTGCTATTGCCGTGTAAGTTGGTTTTGGATTTTTTTTTTTTAAAAAAAATAATTAAAATTTTTTTTTTTTTTTTATTAATTTTTGTTTTAAATTTAAAAAAAATAAAATTTATACGTTTTGATCAGAATTTTCTTTTTTTTTATTTTTAATTTTTTTATTTTTGTTTTTATTATTTTATTATTTTTCATATTATAATAAAAACAAACAGGTAACAACTCACAATTACGGATACATGTCCTCAAAAAAATAAATAAGAAAAAACACTCAAAAAATTTGTGATAAAAAAAAAAAAAACCACCTTTTTTTTAAAACCCAAAAACTTAATAAGTAAATAATAGGAAAAATTCTGTTTAGTTGAATTTCAATTTATTGTAATAATATTTTTTAAGCAACCAAAATCAAAAAAAAAAAATATAAAAATAGATTTAAAAATTTTTTTATTTTTTTTTTTATTTTTTTTTTATTTTTTTTAAAAAATTCCACCATTGTTTTTAAAAAGGAAAAAGATAAAAATAAATTGTAACTTCATAATATTAAAAATACACTTTTGATGTTGTCATTAATATAATCATGTGTTTGTTAGATCGCAATTGCAAATTATTATTTTAAATTTAATTTTACCTCACAACACAATATAGATTCAAAATACAGTCACCACCCACACAAAAATGTAAAAAAAATAAAGATAATGGTATTTCATTTTGTGTATGTTTTGTATTATGATTGTAATTATAAACAATTTAATATGTTTTTTTTTAAAATTACCACATCAGTTTTACATATAAAAATAAAAATAAATATAAATATAAATAAAACAAACACACTCCCACACATTAAAAATACAAATTAATACAACAACTTAAGTTTCCCCCACCACAGTTTCACACTCAATTAATCAACGGAAACACACCCATCAAATCATTTTTTTAAAAATATTATATATATTTTTTTATTTAATTTTGTTTTTCTATCCCATCATTTTTATAATTATTATTTTTATTAAATTATTTATAAATTTATTTAAAAAAAAAAAAAATTTAATATTCTTTATAAAGATTTATTTCAATCAATAACAATAAAAGATAATAATAATATAATTTAAATAATATTCTATTAATAGTAATCTATATAATAAATTTCTATTTAATAAAACAAATAAATTTTGTGTTTGGAAAAAATAAAAAATAAAAAATAATTTATTAATATATTTAATTTAAATTAAAGTTGTAAAAATAAAATCGAGAAATCAAAAGAAAACAAAAAAGGTAAACTATAATTTGCTTATATATAGTTTTAAAAAATGGAAAGTTTAAGCGGAAACAGCGAAGAGCCAGAGGTAAGTTATTCTCTTTTATAATTATTTTTTTAAATATAAACATTAAAATTAATTTAATTTTTAATTATTAATTTTTTCAAGTATTTCAGAGCAAGCAATAATAATAATAATAATACAAACAACAACAATAATAATGAAGATAATATAGAAGAAAATAATTATCATAATAATGAAAATGATAATAATACTAATGATGACAATAATAATGAAAATGGTATTGTTATGAATACAATAGATATTTCAAATAACAACAATAATAGTTCATTGGATAATAATACTAATCAATTTAATAATAATGATAATAGTAATAAAAAATTAAATAAATCAACATTAAAAAATAAAGTTGACTTTTCATTTAAAGATATTAATCATTATGTTACAACTGTAACCAAAACTGAAAAAGGAAGAAAAAAAATATCAAAACAAATTTTAACCAATATCAATGGTCATGTAAAATCAGGTGAAATGATTTCAATTATGGGTCCAAGTGGTGCCGGTAAAACTACACTATTGGATATTTTAGCACATCGTTTACCAATTAATGGTAGCGGTACAATTTATTTAAATGGCAATAAATCGAATTTCCAAATCTTTAAGAAACTTTGTGGATATGTAACTCAACATGACTCTTTAACTCCATCAATGACTGTTAGAGAGACTTTAAATTTTTATGCACAATTAAAAATGCCAAGAAGTACAACAATGGAAGAGAAATTACAAAGAGTCCAAGATGTCATCACTGAAATGGGTTTAAAACGTTGTTCAGAAACCTTAGTAGGTACTGCCGATAGTAAGATTAGAGGTATTAGTGGTGGTGAAAGAAGAAGAGTTACAATTGCAATAGAGTTGTTAACAGGTCCATCAATTTTATTCCTTGATGAGCCAACATCAGGTTTAGACGCTAGGTAAATATACATGGTTCTATATTTTATTATTATGATCATAGTTTTATTAATCTTTTTTAAATAATATTAGTACTGCATATTCGGTAATGCGTGCAATTAGAAAATTAGCTAAATCAGGTAGAAGTGTAATTTGTACTATCCATCAACCTCGTTCAAATATTTATGATATGTTTGATAGATTATTGTTATTAGGTGAAGGAAATGTCATATATTGTGGTGATACCACAAAAGCGGTCGATTATTTTAGTCGTTATGGATATCAATGTGGTGACTTGACCAATCCAGCAGATTTCTTTATGGATTTAATTAACTTACAGGTTGAGGATCAAATAGATTCAGATGATGAAGATGAATATGACGAAGAAGAGAATTTAGAAATTGCAACACCCTCATCATCGACATCTCCAGTATTAAGCGGTGTGCCTAAAGCAAAAATAAGAAAAAACAAAAAACTAACAACTGAAGAGATTGGAGTATTGAAAAAAGAATATCCACAGTCTGACGAAGGTGTAATGATCGCCCAAACATTAGACACAATCTCTAAAGAAAATAGAAATGATTTCAAGTATGAAAAGATCGAAGGACCAACCTTCTTCACTCAATTTAGACTATTATTATATCGTGAAGTGTTAAATGCAAGAAGACATCCATTGGCATTCAAAGTTCAATTGTTCCAAGCAATGTTCCAAGGTTTACTTTGTGGTGTAGTTTACTATCAATTGGGTGTAGGTCAATCAAGTGTTCAATCAAGAACTGGTGTTTTAGCTTTCGTTGTTATGGGTATTAGTTTTCCCTTCACAATGACTACTATTCATGTGTTTCCAGATGTTATTACAATTTTCCTTAAAGATAGAGCGTCTGGTGTGTATAATACCTTGCCATTCTTTTTAGCAAAGTCATTTATCGATATGTGTAACGCTATTTGTTTGCCTGTTATCACTGGTACTATTGTTTATTGGATGTGTAATGAAAGAGTTTATCCATTTTATGCTGCCGCTCCATTCTTCCGTTTCCTTTTAGTATTGGTAATGAATGCACAAACTGCTCTATCATTGGGTGTATTAATTAGTTCATCTGTACCAAATGTCCAAGTGGGTACAGCAGTTGCTCCTTTAGTTGTTATTCTTTTCTTCTTATTCAGTGGTTTCTTCATTAATCTTAATGATGTACCAGGTTGGTTAGTATGGTTCCCATATATCTCTTTCTTTAAATACATTATTGAAAGTGCTGTAATTAATGGCTTTGAGAATGTAGAATTTACATGTACAGAGAGTCAAAAAATAGGTGGTCAATGTCCAAATCAATATGGTAACGAAATTATTAAAAATATGGGTTATGATGTAGATCATTTTTGGAGAAATATCTGGATTTTAGCAATTTATATAATTGGTTTTAGAACTATTACATTTTTAGTTTTAAGATTAAAATCAAGAGATAAATTTACACAAAATAATAAATAAATAAAATAAATAAGTAAATATAAACAAAATTAAATAAAAAAAAGTGAATAATAATAATTTTATTATATCACATTATAAATACAAAGGTTTTTATTTTTTAATTTTATTTAAAACATGTCTATTAAATTAGTGTACATTTGATACTAGATCACCATTAATACTGAGGACATTGACAAAGAAATTAGAGAAGTTGGGGTTTATTTAAATAAAATTTCTATTTTTTCGGTGTGCATGAAATTAGAAAATGTCGTTCAAAAATATAATAAAAATAAGATATATGATAGTTAACCCAAAAAAAACTATCATTAAAGAAGTTTTTTAAAAATATAATTGAAATATAACCTATATAATTTTATTATTAATACAATAATAAAACTACCTTTTATTTTTTTTTTCTATTTTTTTTTTTCCTGAATAAAATAAAACTTAAAACTATTTGTTGTAAGATAAATTACTGTTATCAATTGAATAATTGAAATTTGGTTGTGATGGAGGGGCATAGCTATACATTTGGTTGTTTGATTGAACTAAAGGAGTGTGGTAAGTTGCAACTGGTTGTTGAGAAACTAATGGGACAACTGGTGTAGCAATATTTTGAATGGTTGGTGTGGATGATAATGGTTGTGGGAAGGAAACATAAAGCTCTTCTTTTAGGACTTTTCTACTATAAAACATTTCATATCTAAAGGAAATACCACGATAAAGTAAATTGTTGTTTATCAATCTAATTTGATCATCGATATTTTGTTTTTTCTATTTAAAAAAAAAAAATTAGTATACTTTAAAAAATCAAACAAAAAAATACCCAATAAATATTTACCTTATTTGAAATTCTTCTTGAAAGAACAGTTATATAAATTATAATACCAATAAATAATGTTGTGAAAACCGATGGAGCGACAATAACAACAACTATGTTATGAACTGCAAACATAAGTGTAACCATTATTGCCATACCAGCAAATACAAATAAGAGAAATACTATAAGAAGGATTTTAAGTGGTTTTCTTAAAAGTTCTTGTGCTTTATAAACTTGGTTAATACTTTCTATAATCGATGAAAATTCCATTTGATTAAATACATGTGATAGTTGCCATGGCAAGTGTGTATAAAAACCACATGTAATTGGAACGAGTGAACCTGATTTTTTTGAATCAATAGTCAATTCAGCTCTTGGTTGTTGTTGGTATTGTTGTTGTTGGTATTGTTGTTGTTGTTGTTGTTGTTGTTGTTGTTGTTGTTGTTGTTGTTGTTGTTGTTCTTGTTGTTCTTGTTGTTGGTTTATAATAGTTTCTTGTTCAGGAGTATTATTTTTCTCTTCCTTGAGTAAAACATAATCATTATTATTATTTAAACCCATTTTTTAGGTTTATGTGTATATATATAAGTTAAATATTTGAATATTTTATTTGTAATTAATTAATAATCAAAATAAATTTTTTTGTTATTTATAAAAAATTAAAAAGCAAACCCAAAAAAATAGGAAAAAATCTTTTTTATAAAACAAAAAAATTTATTAAAAATTAAAAAAATATTTTTTTTGGGAATTTTTATTATTTTTTTAGGAAGGGCTCGTTAAAAAATAATTATTGAAATTTTCGGTTATATATAAGATAAATTATTACCAGGATAACTGAAATTTGAACTAGTTTGATTACTTTGCTGAAGTTTTTGTTGAGGGGTGATCGAAAATGAAACTGAAATCTGCTCAATAATTGGTTTAGAGTTAAAGTTGAAATAAAAATTAAATATTATTCCTCTATTAAAAAGATTATTATTGATTTTATTAATTATTTGTCTAATATTATCTTCAAACTATTTTAAAAATAAACAATAGTTAAAATTTTTATTATTATTAATAAATTTATTATTTATTTTTATTTTTTGTTTTTTATTTTTTAATTATTTTATTTACCTTTTTAGTATTTGATTTTTTTGAACAAAGTGTTACCCAATAAAAAAATGATATTATTGAGGCAAATATAATAAATGATATTATAATTTTATATATAAGGCCATTATTGGATATTAATAAAGAAATTGTTATTGTTGATGTAATTATAGTATAAATAATAAAAAAAATAAAAATTAACCAAAATTTAATTGTTGAAAGTTTTCTTTTTTTATATATAGAGTTTATATTATCTATTATTGATTTATATTCACCCACATTAAAAAGATGTGAGAGTTCAACTGGAATCTGTGAGTTATAGTAATATGTTTCATAATTGGTAATATTTATGCAAAATCTGGTTTTTTTTATTGGTTTTATAATGATTTCATATAATGGTGAAGGTTGTAATTGTTGTTTATTTAAATTTAAATCAATTGAAATTTCATTATTATTAAAATTATTATTATTAATTATAAGTGATTGTTTGGCTATAATTTCTTCATTTACTTCTTCATATATTTCTTGATTTATTTCTTTGCTATCAAGTGGCATATAACCATTTTTTTTATATAATAAATTCATTATCAAAATTTGTTTTATAATTAATTATTATTTTATAAAATGAGGGAAATTAAAATATTTTTTTTTCTTTTTTTTTTTTTTTTCTTAAACTTTTTCTTTTTTTTTTTTAATTGTTATTTTTTTTGTTTTAGGAAAAGTGTAAAAATTCATCATTGTGTCATTAAAGTATTAAATTATTTTTTTCTTGAGAATTTCGATCCAAAATTTTCAAAAAAAAAAAATAAAAAAAATAAAAAATAATTTATTTTTTTTTTATTTTTTTATTATTTTTAACATTAAATATTCTTTAATTTAAAATTAAGAAAACCAGAGTCATTGATTTGTGAAAACTTTTTTCTGAAAATTTTTATTTTATTTTTTTTATTTTTTTTTTATTATTTTTTTTTTTTTGTTTTTTTTTCATATCAATTGTTTTTTAATAAAAAAAAGAAATAATATGCAGTTTGATACAGGCATAGGTTATACAAAATTGGATCAAGGTGTGTTTGATGAATTTCAGCCTTATTCATTTGACAATCAAAATCAACAATCACCAGTAACACCCCAACCACAATCAGAAATCAAAATAAATTTACCAACACTAGTTTATAAAACTTGTATTCAATTATATTCAAAAAATGGTGGCACTAAAGAATTGGTAATTGATAATATTCACGATGAGGTTTCAGGAGTTATTTCAGGATTTAGCAATGTTTTACCATCAGCGTTAACAGATATAATGTTACCAGAAGAATACAAAACAATGATAGACTCAATTAACATGTTTTATGGAAAAGAAAAAAATTATGAAAAAAAATATTATTTTTTTTTACTGGTCCTTGTAGCCTTAATGTTTGGTTCATTCATTATGCCATTTGTTGAATGGAATATAGTAATTAAAATAATTTATATCATAATAACATTGCTTTTTATTATTTTTGTAATTTGGTATATGGTAACAAGCATAGCAGTAAGTTTATTGATTAATATTAAATAATAACACAAAAAAAGAGTTATTAATTATTCTTTTTCTAAATATAGGATATCAATAAAAGTATTAAAAAACAAATAGCTTCACTAAACTCGAATTTAACACTTAGAAATATTACATTTGCATTATTAGAGATCATGAGTTATAAAGAACATTGTGAAATAAGTAATTCTGATGGATATTCAAAGTTAGATTTCGAAATTTTCAAAAAATTACCAGCTGTTAAACTTTTAGTTTCTTTCTCAACTTCAACCCCAGTTCAGGGTAACAATGATCAAGAACAATTCTCCCACTTAAACTCACAACCAATTCCAAATAGTTCAAATATACACTATGCAAACACCTCCCAAGTTAATATTTTTATAAATAATAATCCAAAAGATGAAATTAATAGTATAAATTTAAAACCAACTTTTGTTTACCCAATCAGCACAGAGGAACTACTTAGTAATAGTATATCAATGGAATAGTTTAGCAACATCACCCCAATTATTTATTAAAAAAAATTATTTATTAAAAAAAACAATGTAATAAAAACAAAATTATTTATTTATTTATTTATTAATTATTTATTTATTTTTTAAATTTTTAAAAAACTAGTATTAATTTCAAATCTATTATTTTTTTTTCAAATAATTATTTTTATTATGTGTTTAATATTTAATTTTTTTATATATTAATAATTAGTATTTTTTTTAAAAAAATAGTTTTAAGGAAAAAAAAAAATAGATTTAATTATTTACATTTTACAGTACCGTGTTCAGATGTTGTCATATTTAATTCATTAATTTTATTAAATAATTTATCATTTTTTTTCATTTCTACAATTTTTTTTCCTTATTTAAGTTATTTACTTTTTTTATTTTATTTTTTTATTTAATAAATTATAAAAATTATGGAGCAAATAAAATATTTTCATCATTGCACCAGTAAGTATAATGAATTAATCAAATAAACTCTTTAGAATAATATTAAATAATTTATTTTTAGATAAAGAAAGTGCAAAATTAATAAAGGAATATGGTACAATTAGGTATTTAGCAGATGATTTGTTTTTTAATGGGTCAGTATCCGAGGTTAATGCACCAAAGGTATTTTTTTTAGAATGTTATAAATATCAAGGAAGAGATATTTTTAAAACAACATATCCAAGAGATTTAAAGGTTGGGGATGAATCATACATGTTAAAATTTCCAATAAAGAAAAGTCACTCTAAAAGATACAACTATTATTTAATTGAAGATGCTGGTGCAACAGAGGAGGTTAAACATCATAAAATATTCATGGTTCATATAAAAAATAAAGAAGGTTTAAATTATGCATTATTAAAAAACTATAGATTATTGGATATTAACAATAACGAATATTTTATGTTTAATAAAGAGGATAAAAAATGGTACACCATTCAATACACAGACGAAAATAAAGTTATTGTTGATATTGCATATTGTGGCAAAACAATTTTTCCTAAAAAGAGCCCTTTTAAAATGCAATATATTACTGGAGTTGAAAAGAGAAATTCAGTTTTTTATGCAATTCATACAGAAAACAAGGAAAAGATAGAGTATGATGTAAAAGAAAAAAAAGTATTTTCATTTACAATTAAAACAAAATTAAAAGAGTATGTATTTTAATTATAAAAAAATTTTATGTTTTTCTACTAACCAGATTTTTTATTATAGGGTTAATTTATTATCTGGTAGGGTAAAAAAGGGTTCAAAAGAAAATAAATATTTATCAAAATACTATAAAACTTCAATTAAATGTAAAAATGGGGATTTAAAACAATTCAGTATATGTTTTAATGAAGATGCTTTCATTGATATTAAAGATATAGAACATGTTACCAAAACTTGTAAATTAAAAAAAAATAAATTAAATATATATACACACTTTAACCAATTGGTTATTTTATCATTGGTTTATTCAAACTAAATAAATAAATAAATAAATATAAAATTTAAAAGAAAAAATCAAAAAAGATTTTATAGTTCATTTGTATTTTATTGATTATTTGTTTTAAAAAAAATATAGTAGTATGATTGTTGTTAAAATGAATAGGGATGGTATTGTTCTATGAGAGCTGTTAAGATTAATCGTGTTGCAGCTAAAGGACTCCAGAGAATATGGATCATTTCTTGTTTTTAATAGCTTTGTGTTGTTTTTTAAAACACATAAAAATGAATCCAAGTATAGTTCATTAATTTGACAGGTACTAACATTTGAATCTTTACCACTATAATCGAAATTACATTCGTCCCCGCATTTTACTTTATGATATTGGCAAAATGTACCGTAGTATGCATCTGCACATTGACATTTACCATTGCAGCATATACCATTGTTGTTTGAACATCCAACTTGATCACAGGTTTGATTTATTTGTTTGTAATTAAATGCTGCAAATGCATCAACGACTCCAAAACCCATTTTTTTATTTGGTGAGGATGATAAAGATGCAGTACTTAACAAAGCTTCATGAATTTGATACACTTTCCAATTTGGATGGGCCTGTAGTAATAGTGCAATAGCACCAGCAGTTATCGGAGCAGAGAAACTTGTCCCATAGTAAAAGGTAAAACTATTGTCTATTAGATCTGCACAATAAATTTGAGAGCCCCCTGCCATAACATCTGGTTTTATTATTCCTTGTACATTTGGACCACTCGAGCTAAAATATGACCTATTATTATCAAAATCTACAGACCCAACCGAAATTACATCTTTTAGATTGGAGGGCTCAGCAACACCCATGTTGAACTCACCGTTATTACCAGCAGAATTTACAAAAATAACACCTTTTGAAACCATTATTGTAGATGCAATAGATATTGGGGATTCAACATAATTTGTTTCGTAATAGTTACCGTAATATCCCCCAACACTTGTTGTTACTATATCTATACCATTTCTTTCTGCATATTCTAATGCTCCAATATATGCATCTTCTGAACCAATGCCATCTGTATTCCATATTTCTTCATTATCTAATATTTTAGCCAAATAAAATGATGCATTGTATGCCGGTCCTATTAATTCTCCAGGTAAATATCCCCCTATAACTGATAAAACCGCAGTTCCATGAAAATTATCGGAATTCATTGCTTCTTGATTATTTGGATTAAATGGGTTGGTTGTATTGGTTGAATTGTTTATAAAGTTATGTTCACCCATTATCTTCATTTTTTGAAAAACCGCATGATCTTTCCAGAAGCCGCTATCCATAACTAATATTTTAACCCCATACCCATCGAAACCTAGTTTATGTAATTTATCTATATTTATTTGTTTAATTGACTGATACGATTTACCATAAAATCTTAATTCTTCAGATGGTGATTCATTTTGTTGTTGTTGTTGTTGTTGTTGTTGTTGTTGTTGTTGTTGTTGTTGTTGTTGTTGTTGTTGATTTACTTTAAATGGTTTTAAAATTTTAATTTTTTCAACAGAGTTAATTGATTTTACATTATTATTTACTGATATACAATTAATAGTATTATTAAAGTGATTTTTTGATGGTGATTTAATTATTACTGATACTGAGTTTAACCAATTTGATTTATATTTAATTTCAATATTTGATTTGAATTTATTAGCACATTCTTTAATTTCATTTATTGACTTTTCGTCAACTGGTAGATCGTAAATGTCTATTACATTTTCATCACTGATTTGTTTGTTTGATCTTGTATTTCTTCGATTTATACTTTCTTTTGAAACTATATTTTTTATTTTATGTGAACTGAAAGTATAATTATCAACAGTGCTATCTTTTGATTTAAAATTTATCCATATTTTATTATTTTCACTGTTGTTATTTGTTGTTGTTAGTTTTTTTATTTTATAGGAAATTTTATTGTGATATTCATTTTGTTGTGGGTTATTTTCAAAACCTAAAGAAATATTAAATATTAAATAAATTAAAAATATTAGTTTAAATGATTTCATTATGAACTCTATTATTTAAAGATAAAGAATAAAAATAAAAAAAAGAAAAAGAAAAAGTTTAATTCTATAAAATTTAATTTTATAAAACAAAATAATTCAAACCATACACAAACAAACCACACATTCCACACACACAACACAAGGAAATACAAATAATGAAAACGTAATTTAAAAATAAATATACATACACCGCAATCTGGTGGTGGCTTTAATTTATATCTAAATTATTGATTTATTAAAAAACTTATGATAAATTAAAAAAAAAAAAATTCTAATTAAAAAAATAAAAAAAATTAAAAAATTAAAATAAAAATAAATTCCAAAAATATTAATTTTATATAACATTATATATATTATAATTTATTAAGATTTTAATGATTATTATGGTAGTAGTTTAAATTATGATGGCCACTATTATGATGTGATATTTTAATATTATTATTACTATTGTTATTTATATTGTTAAATAATTGATTTTTTGAATTATAAGCATCACCACTAATTGAAATTAATGAGTATGCTTGACCTTTTGGACCATTCTCTAAGATTAAATTGAATTCATCAATATGATAACCAATTAATGCATTACCACCCATTGCGAGAACATGGGATCTTACAATAGCATTGGCTTCTCTTAAAAAGACATGACTGAATACACCTAAACCACCTTGGTCTTTTACACTAAAAGTTTCTTTGATTAAATGAATGCTAATACGTCCTAAATATTTTTCTAATCTGCCTCCAGGTAAATGGAATAGTGGTGTAAGTTCGACATAACCCTGTTCTAGTGATCTTGAGCCTAAAAGTTCATTAATTTTCTCGTTGCTATGATAATATGGCACATTATTTGTACTATTGCCAAAAAATGAATTAATTGAATCTGTTGTTTTTTTCATTGGGGATTTTGGTGGAGACATATCGAATTGTAAATCAGCAGGAATAGCCGATGGAGATAATTGTTGATTTTGGGTTTGCGGTGGTTGTAGTTGTGATTGTGATGGTAATGTTGGTGGTGGTTGTTTTAATGCTATAGGAGCCACATTTGATGATAATTCATTGATAGAATTTAAAGGAGGTAATGTATTACCAACACTGTTATATTGTGAATTAATTGGTAATTGTGGTACCATAATAGTTGAGGGAATTGACAACTTGTTTGAAGATAAGTTCATGGGTGGTGGTAGTAATGGATTAACACTTCCAGGATTATTGTCCATCAATGGTGTTGAAATAAAGCTTGTTTCGACATCATCCATTTGAATTGTGCACATAGCGGTCAAAACAAATTGAATTTGGTCATCTTCGGGTATTTCAATGTCCATATTGATGCCACTAATGCAACAAGGTGAAAGTTCACGCAGTTTGTACATAACACTTTCATAAAGACTATTAAATATATTTGAAAGTTGGGTATTTACACTATTTGGATCTACTACATCGAATTCTACTCTTCTAATTGCTGTGATTAGTTGAACATTGGTTGTTGGCTTGGTTTGACCTGGTAATGTATCGCTATTACAAAGTGAAAAACCATCTAGTATTTCGAAATCAATAAGAGTTTTCATTTTGTCTTCGTCCAAGTTATCATCAATTTCCAAAATATAGGCTGTGGAAAGTTCATTAATGTTATCTGGTTGATATTGAGTAAAAATATCAGATTCTCCAGAACTTGTATCGAGTTGTTGATGTTGGTGATTTTGATGTCTTTTAATTACAGTTTTATTTGAATTTGGAGTAGAGAGTAACTGACTTGAAGGTATTGGAATATTGGATGATGTGGCATTTTCTTGATCTGAATATTGGTTAGATGCTTGTTGTTGCTGCTGTTGTTGTTGAAAAGCAAATTGTTGAGATTGGGTTAAATTTAAATTTGAATTTGCTGATCTCTTTCTTCTTAAATTTTTACTAGATTTCTTTAGCTGTTGTCTACGTTTATGTTCTAATGATAAACTTTCATCATCTGAATCTGTTTGTTCATAATCTGAATCTGTATAATTATTTAAATCGTCGTCTGCTGACTCATCATAATCACTTTCATCATATTCTGATGATGATTGAATGTTACGGTTAGAATCACTATTTGCTAAAATATTTTCACTTGTATTTCTTCTTTTAGTTGAGGACGTCGAAGCTGTTCTTTTGGTTCTTCTTATTGATGATGATGTATTATTGATTGTTTTAGCTCTATTTCTTCTTCTATAATGTTCGTCATCACTTGACGAAGCTTCATGTGATTTTGATACTTTTGATGATGATTTAGATTTAGATGAATTTTTAGATGATTTTGATTTTAATTTGGACGAGTTTTTTGATGTTTTTGTTTTACTTGCAATTCTTCTACTAAGACTATTGTTATCAGATTTAGATAAATCGTAAGAGCTATCGATTAAAACGTCACCTTCTTGCTGTTGATTATGATTGTGATAATTACGATGATGTTTTCTATTATCCTCACTTTCGCTTGTTGGTGCGCCAGTTGTTGTAGTTGGTGAAATTGGGCTTTTACCTCTTTTCATTGGACCTAAGTTTGTAATATAGAGATCCATCGGATCGGGTTGGAAACGAGTTGTAGAGCCTGATAGACTATTGTGATTATGTAAACTTTTTCTTTCAATTTTAGCTTGTAAATCATGAATACGACGAGACTTGTCATCAGTAATTTCAAGATTACGAGAAATTTTTAGGATTGGTGGTGATGGTAGTGGTGTAAGAAAAACAGCAGTGGCTGTGGCAATACCAATTACAAGGGTATCACTAAAGGTAATTTGAGTTTTTAAATTAAAAGCTGCATTCATACCTAAAAGTTTTAATTTATACATAATTTGATTGTGGAGATCATACTCGACAAATGGAATTGTTTCTGATAATTGAAAAGCACTAGATTCTTCGCCTTGGGATTTCTTTTTTAATTTACAGGCTCTAGCTTGAATTAATGAGCCAACCCCAGTAATTGGAATACCTGGTGGAGGTTCGATAGTTGCAAGTAAAACCTCTGGTACGTATTTCTTTCTACAAACTGCACATTTTACAGTATTGCTCTCTTCAGATTGTTTAAATGGAATATGACAAATATTACATCCTGATCTAGCCTTACGTCTTTTATTACCAAATGCTAATAAACTCTTTTTGGAATCGTATATACCACCACTTGTACCCATTTGAATGGTATCACTCTCTTCGATTGAGCCTGCTAAAGTTGTATTATTAATTCTCTTTTTAATGTTTACACTTCCACTATTTTTTTTAAATGAGCCAGGGTTAAAATCTTCGCTTGATTCAATCTCTTGTTGTCTGGTATAGTGAGTTCTGGTTCTGTTTGATGATGTACTATCCAATAAATCTAAGATTGCAGCAGTACCAGTAGCACTGAATATACAAAGATCTTCATCTTGTTGAATTGTCGTAGTTTCTGAATAACCAATAATATAATTACAACCCAATGATTTTGCATGGCTTTTAATTTCATTACGAATCTCGGTCCAATATTGATCTCTGACATCTTGAGTATTTGATTTCTTTAAAATTTTAACTGATTTGGTTGCAACTACACCACCAATATGAACAACGACATTTGATTGAAACGACTGTAATGTTAAAAGCTGAACATCAGCATGTAATGTTAATATTTTATCTCTACGTTTTCTTCTGGTTTTATTTACAATACTATTAGTTGATGATGATGAAGAAGATGATGAGCTTAAATCATAACTATTTTTTGAATCTGATGATGATGAATCTGATGAGGAGTCTGATGATGAAGAGTCTGATGATGAATCGATTGAAGACTCATTTGATGAAAAATGTTTTGGTGAATAAACTAAATCTGCCTCTGTAACTTTTCTTAATGTAACAGCAGTACCATAACCTCTTGCAACGATACCTGAATCACCTTCTAAATCAAAATGCTGTTTATAACCCAATACTGCATTACCACCCATATCAACTACCTTTTTACCCATTTGTCTACGCAATTTACTGTTTAAAAATTAACATTAAAATGTTAATAATTGTTTATGAGTATTGTTTATTATTATTATTGTTTTTAAATATATATTTTACTTACCCTGATAAAGTGTATAATAAAAATTGTCTTTCGAAATTTGATAATCTTGATGCACGAAAAGTATCAGTCCAATGGTACTCTGGATCATTTTCAACGATTAACTCTTCAACAAAGGAATGAATAGTATTAATTCTATAATTCGAAAATGGTGTTGAACTTGAAAAAAATTGAATACCATCGGATGATTCTTTGAAAGGATTATCATTTTTAAATTTTTCTAACTTTACTACAACCGATAACTCACCTCTAATACCTCGAAGTGTATCATAAATTGGAAACCATCCTGATAATTGTGAAGTTGGTGTTTCTCCATCCAATAAACCATTTAAATCAATCAATACTGAACCAATCATATCATTCTTTGATACTAAATCATAATCCCAAACCCTAATATCTAATGGTTTATCTTGAATTTCTAAATCGTTTAAAAAATCGAACCTAAAATCTTGATTCCAAATTGGATTTAATGTTTTCTTTTGAATATCTGTTTTTTGGGTTTCATTCGAACCACACCTTATCTAAATATTATATTTTATTTTGTTAATAACTTAAAAATAAATTATTTTTTTAACTATGGTATATTTACCTCTACATAAGCATCGGCCAAAGCAGAACTCCGATCCATAATTGGGAGATCTCTGGCCTCTACAATTTTAACTTTTAATATACAAGGCATTTTTTATAGTATATAATATAATTATTTCTTTATTTATTATTAGATTATAGTTTGATTTATTATTTATTTACACATTAATTTATTTTATTATTTTATTTATAAACTTATTAGTATTATTCGATTAAACAATATTATATAACCATACAATAATAGTAAAATATTTAAAAAATATTATAATTATTATAAATTAATAATATTATTAATTATAAAAAAAAAAAAAATTTTAAAAAAATTTAAAAAAAAAATAAAAAATAAAAAATTTAAAAAAAAATAAAATAATTTTGAAAAATTATCTTTATAAAGATTTTTTATCATTGTAAAAACACACACTTTTTTGAAATAAATAATAATTGATTTAAATTTGAAAAATGGTTGAATATATAAGCCAATTAATTTTTAATTTTATATTTTATATAAAATTGGTTTAATTTGAGAAGGGACTGAAATGTAATTAATTAAGGAGAATTTGGTTTTGAAAATTTTCAACTCAGTTACCAAATTTAGAAAGGTGGGTGTATTATGAGAATGGCTCATTGAATAGAGTAATCTTGATCAAATTATTTTTTCAAAACTTGAAATATCAGTGTTATGATCATTTAATAATATTTTTAATTTGTTTAATAATACACATCCTTAAAAAAAACTTGATGGAAATATAAACATTACATATTATATTTTATTTTCTTTCTTTTTTTTATATACCTAATTAAATTAATTTTTTATAAATTAAAATTATTATTTGTTTAAATTATATATTATTTATTTTTTGAAATTTTGAAATTTGAAATGTTTTTTTAATAAACTTGTTTATCTTTACAGATACAAATTCTTGAAGAATCATTTTTTGATTTTGGTAGTTTTGAAGTACAACTTAATTTGCTAAACTCTTTTGTAATAAAACAATTACGATCTTTATCTTTGATTGGATAATAAATATTTTGATCTTTTTGGTCAACAGCCTTAACAGTTGCACAATGAGTTTCCATTTCTATTTGAACTATTGTTGGATCTGTAAGTATCATCATGTCAGTTTCTTGGCAAACCCTTTTATGTTTTTCACAAAAATCTTTACAGGAGAAACCAGATTCTGCTAGGGTTATTTCCAATGTTAAATCTTTTTCCATTCTATAAAGATAGGTATTTGCTTTGGCACTTTCAACAGTGGAATCGAATTGATCTACCTTGAAATCACTGAAGAAGATTTTTGGATTACGCTTACGATGATTCTTGTCATAGAATGGTGAATAAGTTCCAACTATGAAAAGCTTTCTACCTTGGAATGTGGTTTCGATGACACCTTTGTAAATACCTCTGACTGCTCCACCATTTCCTCTACCAATCATTTGAAGCTTACTGATTATATTGTCCCATTTTGGGTCTTCATTTGATTTAGAACCAAGGTACATCAAGAAGGAATTTGTTGTTGAGAAAAGCATTGGAATTGATAAAAGAGAGTCTAGTTCAATTGATCTGTGGATTTTTTCTTTTAATTCGCTATCGTATTCAAATGATAAATATTTACTGATATCGATATACCAAGTATGGACCAATACATTCTTTGGTAAATAGAAATTATAGTTTGCCCAGCCATCACCTACTTGCAAGTCATTGAACAATGAATTGTAGTCACGTTCTAATATAGGAGCATGATGAGAACGTGGGATCTCTGGATAAATAGATGAATCGCTTTTACCAAATGCACTTTGAATTACGACATCCCAAGGCAATGAGGTTTCAGTTTTCCACTTTGGTTCAATCTTTCTCTTGTAAACCTTTTGACTAGTTAAGAAACCTAAACCACCAAAATGTTCTTGACGACGGAAACTAAATTTGTTGTCGATGGATGATTGGAGATTATCAACATTCCATTTAAAGCCATTATCGTTCCAGGCAGAGATTGAAAAGATAGATGGATCATAATCCATGAGTTTACTGAGATGTTTAAAGTATTGTAATGAGTCAGGTGCCATTATTAAATCATCCTCCAAGAAAATAACCTTGTCTAAAGTCTTGTTATTGAAAACAAAACTGAAAACTTCCTTATAATGAGAATTCATATAGTATTGTTTTTCTTCGTTAGTTTTGGCAGCAACTTTACCATCAGAAGCTTGTTTTGGTACAGTATTTACATATTTTGACAATCTATGATAATTTGTAATGTTGTGCTCTTTGATAATAGAAGATACATCTAAGGAACCATCATCGAATACATAGATTTTGTGGATGTTTGCATTACAGTTGTCAATGAGGTTGTGTAATAAACGGTTTAAGTGCTTTGGACGATTTGATGAAATAATTGCTATATCTGGATGGTCATAGATCTTATCTATATTTACTACATATTCACCATTGTTGTTCATTTTAAACTTTCTGACTCTATCACTGAAGGGTCTGATTTCATCGTGCCATTTAACTTTGTAGAGGTCTTGATCGATGGTTGCATTTTTTAACATCATATTATACTTTATATTTCTTGTTAATTGTGAATCACTCCATGAGTCTTTTGATGATGCCTTCTTACTATTTGATTTAGTGCTGGCTTTGATATAATAAGATGGTGACGATTCAGTTTGAAGTATATAATAAAATATAAAAAATATAAATAAAATGGCTATTAATATTTTTTTTTTATTAATATTATTTTTATTATTATTATAAATATTATTTAACATTTTTTTTTTTAGATTTAAAATTTAAAAAAAAAAATATGATGTTTTTTTATTTTTATTATTTATAATTGTAACTATATTTTTAAAAATATTATTATTATTAAAGAAAAAAATAGTATGAATGATGGAGTTTTGTGAAATGAAAATAATAACATAAAAAAAAATATACTAATTAAATTGTAAAAAATAAAAAAAATATATATAATTATTTAATAAATAATTTGAAATTAGAAACATGTTGTATATATTTAACCCCCCATTATATTAAAAAAAAAAAAATATTATGTATTCACATTTCTTGCCCACTCAAACACACAACACACAAATACAACTTATTATGAAAAAATTTATTTATATTTTTTTTGAATAAAAATGGAAATTATTAATTTGTTAAAAAAAAATCATTTTGATTTGATCATTTATTAATATTAAAATTATATTTATAAATGCTATTTTTAAAAAATAAAAAAAAAGGTATTTTAATTCACATAATACACCCACCTAATTATTATTTTTTTAATTTTAAAAAAAAAATAAAAATAAAAATAAAAATAAAATAAAAAAAATTAAAATTAATTTTTTTTTTTTTTTTAAATTTATTTTCTTTTTTTTTAGTTTAGTTTTAAAAAACCTTTTAATCCAAAAATACAAAGATATTTATATTTTTAATGAAAATTATATTTATATAATAATAATAAAAACAATTCATTTTTTTTTTTTTACTTTTTTTTTTAAAAGAAACAATAAAATGAATTCAGATCTTACCTATCAACAAATTCAACAATTACATTTATTGCTTCAACAGCAACAACAACAATTACAACAACAAATACCAATACCAACACAATTAGCTAATAGTAGCGCAACAGTAACCAACAATCCACCAGCACAACCTTCCCCAGCACCAGCTAAAGGAAGTAAATCAAAACAGAGCGCCACTGCTACAAACAATGATAATAATACAAACTCAAACACAGCTGCCCCAACACAAAAATTTCCAACAAGAAAATATAAAAAACAAAAAGATAAATTAGCTGAGTTTGGTATAGATATTGAACTTTCTAAAAAACCAGCTGCACCAACAAAGAAAAAAGGTGCAAAACCAAAAGCAAATACAAAAAATGCCGAACCTGAAACCCCCACCGAATCAAAGAAAAGAAAAAATCAAGAACTTTTAGATTATTGTATGTATATAATAATAACATTAATTAATAAAAAATACTAATTTAACTTTTAATTTTAAAAATTAGCTGATGAAGAATACTCAGATAGTGACCAAGAGCATGACGATGACGATGAAAATGAAGATGGAGGCAATGGAGAAAATAAAAAAAATCGTAGATTATTAAAAAATAGAGAAGCAGCTCAGTTATTTAGACAAAGACAAAAGGAATATATCAGTAGTTTAGAATCAAAAGCTTCAACTTTAGAGGCTTCAAATAGCACTGCCCTTTCAAAGGTATCACATTTAACAGAAGAAAACCAATTAATGAAAGATAAAGTTAAATATTTAAAAAATTTTGTAAAACAGGCAGTTTCAATTTCTCTGCCAATGAGTGTAGTAAATCAAGATAATATAAATAATTTAAAAAACAATTTAATAAATCTAAATAATACCAATAATACCAATAACAATAACAATACCAATAATATGAATAATAACAATCAAAATATTAATATAAATAGCGAACCAATGGAAACTACTTCACCTCAAAACGAAAATATCCAGCACAGTAATGAAACAATCCCAATAGCCACAACCGCCGATCCAAATACAATTTCAACTTCTAATCCGATCACAAACCCAACCAATAGCAACAATACAGATATAAATAACTACAACTTAAATGATATAATATTAAGCGGCTTAGCTCAAAGTGTAAATAGTAATAGTTTAAATAATAATAATGGCAGCAACAATAACAATGGTTTAAATAGCAGTAATTTTAATTTTGGTTTAAATAATAGTAGTATTTTCAATTTACCCCCCGATTAAATTTAAAAATAAAAATAATATATATTTTTTGTCTTCAAAAAAAAAAAAAAATTAAAAAATAACTTATGTGGCAAGCTCCGATGATTATTTGATATATTTGAAAAAAAAAAAAAATTATTAAAGATATTTATTTTTGAGAAAAAAAAAAAAAATGGAAGTTTCCCCATTTCTCAAAGTGTGTGGATATTTTATGATTTATTCAACCCATGTTAACTTTATTGAGCTATCTTTTATTTATAATTAATAAAATAATAAAATCAAAATTACAAAAAAAAAAAAAATAAATTCAATAGAATCTTTTATAACCCCAAAATAAAAAATTAGAAAAATATAAAGCTTTTTTTTTTTGGGATTTTTTTATTGTAAATTTTTTTTTTTTTATAAATTATATTAAATATATAAATATAAATATATATTAATATATATATATGTATTTTTTCTTTTTTTTTAAATTATAAAAAAAAATGAAATTTTTTCTTTTTTTGATTTTATTAAAATTTTTATTATTTAATTTATTTTCTATTCAAGGTGTATACTGTCAAATCTCACAATCAAATCAAAATGTAAAAATATATGTTGACCCAAATAATGTGTACGAAAGGTATGGTGATGCTGACAATGGTTTTTCAATTTGTGAATTTAATGTGAAAATTATTGTAACCAATATACAAACTCCAAACTTAGAGAATGCCTTCTCATTTAATCAAATTGATAGAGTAAACTATGAAATCTTTATAAATAAAAGTGCGACATCACAAATAAGTCCATATACATTTACTATTAGAGATTATAACAACCAAGTTATTTCAACTGATTTTACTGTAAATCTAAAATGTGAAAGTAAATATTATGATAAATATATTTAATTATAAAAATATATTTATATCACTTTTTATTAATAAAATATTTTTATTTTTATAAAAACTAGTATTAAATGGTAATTCGCTTACTGTAAAAACAATAGGTGATGCTCCTGTACAATACGGTTATAATAGTTATTATTTTTATTTATCTGTTAAAAATTTAAAATATTCAACACAAAGTTTAAATCTATCAACAACCAACGATGTATCTATCAGCTCAATAAAAATAAGTAAAGAAATTCACTGTATTCAAATTTATGCTAGTAATGCCTTAAATTTACTTAATGTTAGTATTGGCATTAATGTAAATTTCCCCAATAAAACGTTTTCATTTTTTTTGAAACCAATTTATATGACCCCAGTTGATCATACCCTCAGTGTTTGGAACAATAAATATTTTGGATATAATCAAAAGGGTTATAACTTTTCACCCCTTATAACTCTGATCTCAACTATAGATGAAGGATCCCCCTATCTAGCTTGGGGATTAAAAGAATCTTCTAGTTCAAGGTATGGTTTACTTAAAATGATTGGTCCAAACAACTATATTTTAGCATTAACCCAATTTGCAAATCTACAGTATCAATACGATATAATATATAACACTGGAAACACATTGAAAACCATAAGCTTTCCCTCTTCGTGTGAAAACAGTAAATATTTTATTTTCCTCTTTAAATTTTTTTTATTTTACTTATATATTATTTCTTTTTTGCTTTTAGAATTTCAAAATAATCAACTTCCAAATGCTCAACTTATCATGTCTCCTACAACAACTAAAACACAATCATTATGGTTTCAAACTACAAACATTATTTATCAAATCCAAAATGCCCCATTTTCAATTTCATTCTATTCTTTTAGTTATATATTTGAATTTCCCTTTGGCTATATAAAGGGTTCAAATCCTTCATTTAGCTATAGGGCTACATTTTTTTCAAAACCCTCAATTACAAACAATGATAATAATAAATTTAAAGTGAACGAATACCCAATAGGTGCTATAAAAGAATACCAAAATCCAAATACAGATATTGAAACAGGTAAATATACTTTATTTTAAAAACCATTTTAAATACTATTAAATGTTCTAATATTAGAAAATTTTCAAAGATAATTCCCCCCCTACAGTAACACTGTTTGAACTAAAACATATTTCTGGCTTTAACTATTTGTTAAGGATAGGGGCATCTGATAACACAATGGTATATAGATTCTCCTATTCAAAAAAATCCAAAACAATAATTCTTGGCTATGAAGGTCTAGTTAGTGGTAGTACCCAGAACGGTATATTCGAATATATTGTTGATCTTGGACATCCTCTTAAAACTTTTAACATCCATGACCCTTTTAATAATGTGCTTTCACTTTCTGCGGGGTCTTTACTCTATAAAGATTCAAATGACAATCCTGTATTCTTTAACTGGCCTGTTTTAAATATAGATTGTAGGTATTTTAAAAAAGCAACAATTATATAAACCTAAAAAGCGACCATATAACTAACCAATTATTTTATAGTGGATATTGAAAATGTGACCATTTTAAAAAATGACATTGATATTCTCAATAAAGAATGCTATAATACAATTTATTTTAACTCAAGTACCATACCACATGACTATCCATTAGTATTTAATTTATTGGATCCAGTTTCACAAGAAGATTTAGATGAAGGTATAATTGACCCATTACCAATTAGATGGAGTGAACAATTAAAACTATTTTATTGTGATTTTATTGTTCCAAAGAATACTGGACCCAAAACAATTCCCTATCAAATCTCATCACCCTTTAATTTGATAACCAATGAAGCCTTTACGCCTTTAAGAGTATCAAAAACTAGGTTCGATAACGATGGCCCACTTATTACATCACTTTCAAATACGACAAATTATAATAGTTCTACTATTGGTTGGAGAATGGAAATTATTGATTTTGGTAATGGCTTTAGCAAAGGTTATATTAAAGCAGTCGGATCATTTGACTCTTCCATTCTAACTGTCAACTTTACGTCTGCAAATGTAAGCACCACATCTGGTCAAGGCACAATCTATGATGGTGAATATAACCTTATACTCGATATCGATGTTAATAAACCATGTAAAACCCAACTATATACGATTGAGTATATTTACTTAGAAGATACGAATAAAAGGTTCTCTGTATATTCAAGATTTGATAAATCTTTTAAGCAAGAGAAAGATCCACTAAGATATGTTTCAGACTCGATTCCATCTGTAATAAGTACAAACTCGGTATGCAAAACCACTATAAGTGATGAGTCTCCACCACGTATGTCATCTTTTTCCATAACTTCCCAGGAATTAGATGTTGGTTCTTTTTCATATAGATTTGTCAACATCACCATTATTGCTGAAGATGATGAAAGTGGCATATTGTATTCACAACGACCAAAAGCCTATATAACAGCCTCAGATATGCAAACTATTATGTATGATTCTGAAATACAAGCTTTTTCTTTGAATAAGGGAACCTATTTATTTCAAATCGAAATTCCAGTTGGTTTTGGCTATCCAGACCCTTTATTGGTTTCTATTTATGGTATTATTAACACTGCTGGTTTTTATACCGGTTATTCAAATGATGACCCAGATTTTATTAAATCCACCATAATATCAACCTCTTTATCGGGTAACTCGGTACTCTTAGGCTACGAACCATTATATTACTATTCGAAATCAAATATTATTATCTATGGTAGACTTTTAAGTGATACAGACTTGGTTGTAATAGCTTATTCAAATGGTACCAAAAGAGGATATTCCCCTGTCCCCATAGGTCAATCCATTTTATCAATACCAAGAGATGATTTTGAAATTGTTGGCCCCTTTGATATTACAGCTTTTTCCAAATCACATGCTACCAATACACTCAGAGTCAATCCTATATACTATGAAAAATATTCAGATCCAAAGCCAACCTCAACACCAATTCCAACTAACAAGCCACAAAGGTGCCTAGGCTCACCATTATGCGGTGGTGCAGATCATGGAACCTGTATCGAAAATCAAGGATGTGTATGTAACTCACCTTGGATTGGCATCGACTGTTTATCACAAGTTATTATTATTCCACCTCCAAAAGTAAACAATACTGATCCAACTATCGAAATACCAATTACTGATGGCGGCAATAGTGGGGAAACTAATACCACAACAATTTTTTACAAATCTTTAATTTCCTTAGTATCACTTAGGGAAATTTCAATAAATAATACCCCAGTGGAAGGTAAAACATTTAGATTTGAAAAATGGACATTTAAATCAATTGACTCTTTCACCAACCAATACCATACAACAATTTCAGTTTCAAGCACACAAACTACAAACGTTACAGTAACACTAAAATGGTATGAAAATGAAACCATAGTAGAGTTTGCGAATCAAAATTTAAAAATGAATCCTTCATCAATTAAATATACAATCGAAATTCAAAACTTTCCTTTTGAAAGCTCTTTAAATAGCTTACAACTAATTATGCAAGCATCCTTTTTATCCAATAAAATACAAGATACATGTTCAGCAAAAGAATTTGGTGACACTACTTCAGGTGACAATTCAAACTATTTAAAAATTCAGATCGAAAATAAATCATTATATGGTAGATTTATCAAGAGATGTATAACCGATGATGCTTCAAATATCTTTTTATTAGAAAACCAATTATTAGATTCTGAAATGAATGCTGTCGAAAGCCCTAATCAAATTCAAACTTATATTGGTATAAAAATGCCTTGGTTTGAGCATTACTCAATTATCGATCCAGATTTCTCGGTGTTAGTAAACAGTGATTCAGCATCCTCATTATCAAACTCTAATTGCAGCTCAAAGGATTCAAAACTATCAACGATCAAAATTGTTGGGATTGTGATTGGTTGTGTTGCTTTTGTATGCATAGTTTCTGTGGCTATTATTTATTCAATACAACTAAAGAAAAAAGAATCTAGATTCATTAAAAAAGTTGATGTAAGATTAAAAAGTTATAACAGTGAAATTTCAAAAACAAACGAATAAAATAAAATAAAATAAAATAAAATAAAATAAAATAAAATAAAATAAAATAAAATAAAATAAAATAAAATAAAATAAAATATATGATCTATGTATTATAGTTTGTTTTTTTTGTAGTTTTTAAAAAAAATTTAATTTTTTTTTTATTTTTTTTTATATTTATTTTTTATTTTTTATTTTTTAGAAAATTAAATATTTTAGATTTCTAAATAACTTTCTAAATTAAATAGAATGTGTTGTGTTTCTATAATTATGTAATTTAACATTTGAAGTAATCTTTACCTCTGATGCTGGCATTGCAACCATCTTTTGGGAAGATAGTTGGACCAAAAATGATTTCATCACCACCTGGAGTTTTGTTGTGTTCCCATTCAGCAGACATGGCTAATTTGGTTAAAAAGACTTCGATTTGATTTTTAGCTAATTCTTTACCAATACAGAAATGTGGACCAGCACCGAAAACTAAATAATTTTTAGCACAGGTAATTTCTTCTTTACGTTCAGCGTTGAAACGTTCTGGGTCGAAATTTTGTGGGTTCTTGAAACCACCTTCTTGGAAGTGAGATGACCAGATGGATGGAAGGATCATAGTACCTTTTGGAACAAATACATTGTCACCAATGACGATATCTTCAATATTTTCATGTGGAACCATAACAGCTGGTGGACGGAAACGGAGGATTTCATTGACGACCATACGAGTGTAGTTGGCTTGTCTCATGGTATCTAAGTTTAATGGTTCATCAGTCTTACGAAGAGCTTTTTGTTCGGCTCTAACTCTGGCGAGAACATCTGGGTGGTTGGCCATTAAGTGGATAGTCCAAACTAATGATGAAGTAAGAGCATCTTGTGAGGCAAACATGAAACTTAAAAGAGTGAAAATAATAGTATCGTTTGAAAGTTCGTCACGTTCTTCTTCTGGGCAGTTAAGGAAATGTTCGACCCATAAATCAATAAGTGATTGGCATTCTTCACCAGCTGACATTCTTTTACGTGAGTTTTCAATGATAATAGTGAAAAGTTCAACTAAACGGACACGAGCATTAATGGCTTTACGGAGAGTGGTACCTGGTAAATCGATTGGGAGACAGAGGAAACCTTCATTCATTAAGAAAAAGTTTTTAGCAATTTCTTCACGAATTTCGACTGGAGTGTTATTACCTACAAAGACACCAGTTGAAACGGCCATATTGAGATCACGACATACATTACGGGCATTGATATCTTTGCCTTCTTTGATCCATTGATTGATGTGTTCAGTGGCGATTTTTTCTTGAATTGGGAGATATGATGAAAGAGCACGAATAGTGAATAATGGTAATAATTGTTTACGTAATTGTTTGTGGGCAGCACCTTCAATGAATGGAATAGCTTTTTCAGTTAAAATCTTTTTAGCACCAAGTGAAAGGAATAATTTGGCATTTTCTTCTTTGAAAACTTGACGATTGATCTCGGCATCAGTAACGAAAAGAACAAATTTATTTAAAATTGAAGTCCATGAAACTGCTCCATATTTTTCTTGTTTTTCATAAAATGAGAATGGAGTGAAAATCAATTGGAAAAGCATACCAAAGAATGGTGGAACAAAACTTGGGCCTGGGATACTACCTTTTTTTTGATTAATAGTATATTGTTGTTGTAAAGCAATAGTAGCTAAAACAACGACAACACCAATTAAAACTTGTTTTAATGTAAATTTGCTAACTGTGCGATTTAAAAAAAAAAAAAAAAATTTATATTAATATTTAAAAAAAATAAAAATATATAATTTTCGATTGGTTATGAAAGAAAATAAAGATAAATGGAATTGTATAATTGAAATTTCTATTAAATATTCAATTGTAAATATCTTTTTTTTTTTTTTTTTTTTTTAAAACTTTTTTTTTTTTTTTTTTTTTGGTATTGAAGATTGATTACTTACCAGCAGCAATTAATTTTTGAGTAGTGCATTGTAAACCTGAACATTTAACTTGAGCAGTTTGAGTAGTTTGGGTATTAACTTTAGCAGTAGCTTCTGAAACAAAGACTGCAACAGCAGCTAATAAAACAAATACAAGAATGAATTTGGTTGATGTTTTCATTTTTTATTTATATAAATAATAATTTTTTTTTTTTTTTTTAAAATTAATTTTCTAAAATTAAATTTCTTTTGGTTTGACACAAAATTGAAAATCTAATTTAAAGAAAATATTTGATTTGATTGGAAATTAAAAAAAAAAATAAAATAAAAATACAATTTATTATTATTTGTATTTGGTTATTATTTCTATAGACACGATTAATAATTTAGTGAACAAAAAAAAAAAAAAAAAAAAATTTTTAAAAAAAAAAAATAATCAATTTTTTTTCGAAAAAAAAATTAATAAAAAAAAAATTTAAATAAAAATTTTTTTTTTTTTTTTTTGCGCAATCACGCCAGTTCAAAAAAAATAGTGATAAAATTTTATTATTCCTTCCAATTTGGAATCTAATTCAAAATTCTTCTTATTATAAAATTATAGTTTTAGACCTACAATAATCATTAGTTTTTTTTTATTTGGATAAAATTTTATTTAAATTTATATATTATAATAAAAAATAATAAAAAAAATGGGTAACATTTTTTTTTTTATTTTTTTTTTCCCCAAAATGTTTTATTAATCATTTACTAATTTTATTTAAATATTTTTGGGCGGTTGGTATTTTTGAAGTCGATTTTCAATATCTTTTTTAATGGTTTCTAATCAATACATTTGTTTCATAGAGTTAAAAATTTTGTTTGATTTTATATTTTAAACTCTGTTAAATCTTCAATAATATCTTGAATAATAGTTTGAAAAAAATAAAATTTTATTATTTTAATTTTAAAATAATAAAATTTTTTTTATATATTGGGGGTTTAAAATAATATCTTGCCTGTTGTGGTTATTTAAATGGAATAATTTATATTTTTTTGGATTTGCTCTTCATTATTTAGTTATTGGATTTAATTCATATACTATTATTATATAGTATACCGAGTTATTATTATTATTATTATTATTATTATCTTTTATTAATTTATTATTTTTAAAATAATAATTTATTCTAAACCAAAAATCCCAATCCTCCCATCCAAACCATAAAGAGTAGCCCAATAGTAAATATTTCCAAAACATAGTACTACAAGTAAAGCCTTGTTTTAGGCTAGTTTATTTAAATCCCATATCGGAATTTACCAAGTCTCAACTTTATTTATATTCCCTATTTTCGGGGTTTATTTGTCATTAGGCCAAGCACCAGGAGAAAGTGAAACAACTGTATTTTTTATTATTTTCTTAAAATTTAGAGGCTTTTTTTTACACACTAGTTTTATTTTTTATTAATTTAATGTTACAATCTCTTTTTGCTTAAATTTCTCTCATTCCACGGAGGTGAAGCTTTCTTTTAATAATAAACATTGTTATCAAAATTTAAGTAAAATATATAAAAAACAAAAAAAAAAATTTTAAATTTAAAAAATATGTAATATTAATAACTTTTTTTATTGCATAAAAGAAGGTTGTTATGATAATCAAACCCCTTTTATTTTTATTTTTTTTTGAGATGTTATTATTTTAACAATTAATTATATCTCAAAACATATATTTATAGGTAAATAAACATAATCATACATTTAGTTTTATAGAAATAAAATAATAATTTAAAAAAAAAAAAAAAAAAAAAAAAAAAAAAATTAAAAAAAAAACTGAAACTAAAAAAAACCTAAAAAAAAATCTTTTGGATTACGAAAAACCAAGAGATTATTATGATAATAATGAAAAAGTAATAAAACTTTTTTTTTTTATTTAAAAAATTATTTTTGTTTTAATTTTTTTTTTAAATTTTTTTTCCAATTTGAATTAATTTTTAAAATTTTCTTTTTTTTTTCATTTTTTTCAAAATTATTTAATTTAATAATTACAACAGAAAAAAAAATGGTTCACAAAAGAAATGAAGGCAAGGATGATTGCTGCGAAAAAACACATCATGACAGTCAATACTCTCCAGGTTACTATTGGTTAGGTAATGATACTTTAAAAGTACCATTAGTACTCCATAAAGAAAACAGAGAAAGATTAGTATCAAGAATGTTAACCAATCGTAAGTTTAACTTTTTTTCAATAATACCTACATTATTTTTAAAAATACTAATAGATTATTATTATTTTATAGATAAAGATACAATTGAAAAGAATTCATTTATTTTATTAGAAGGTGGTAAAGATGAAATGTCATATGATACTGACCACGAACCATTATTCAAACAAGAAAGATACTTCTTTTGGACATTTGGATGTGAAATTCCAGGTTGTTATGGTTTAGTTGGATTGGATGATAAAGCAACCTCTGTTTTAGCCATTCCAAAGTTACCAGCAGACTATGCCACATGGATGGGTGAAATTCACAGCAAGGAATATTATAAATCCATCTTTTTAGTAGATCATGTCATCTATACTGAAGATTTACAAGATTACCTCAAGGGCAATAATGCATCAACTCTTTACACCATTTTAGGTTTGAATACCGATAGTGGAGCAACATTCAAAGAACCAGAATTCCCAGGTATGAAAGAAAACTTCAAAGTAAACAATAGCGTTCTTTTCCCAGAGATTGCTGAATGCAGAGTCATTAAAACTCCAAAAGAAGTCGAAGTTATTCGTTATGCAGTCGACGCATCAGTATCTGCTCACAAACACGTCATGCGTACTGTTAAAGTAGGAATGAAAGAATATGAATGTGAAAGTGAATTCGTTCATCATGCATATAAAAACTGGGGTTGTAGAAATGTAGGTTACACCTGTATTTGTGCTGCCAATAAAAACTCTGCCGTACTTCACTATGGTCACGCTGGTGAACCAAATGCATCAACCATCAGCGAACATGGCTTCTGTCTCTTTGATATGGGTGCCGAATATCATTCATACACCGCCGATATCACCTGTTCATTCCCAGCCACCGGTAAATTCTCTCCAGAGCAACGTGTTATCTATAATGCTGTATTAGATGCATCCGTAGCCGTCATCCAAGCAATGAGACCAGGTGTCAATTGGATCGATATGCACAAATTAGCCGAACGTTGTATTTTAGAAGCTCTCTTAAAAGCAAATATCCTCAAAGGTGACTTACTCGATTTAGTTAAAAATGGTATTGGCTCTGTATTTTTCCCACATGGTTTAGGTCATTTCCTTGGTCTCAATACTCACGATGTTGGTGGTTTTGTCGGTGATTGCAAACCAAAAACAAACTCACTCAGAACCACTCGTGATCTTAAAGCCAACATGGTCATCACCGTCGAACCAGGTTGTTATTTCATTAAACATCTCTTAACTCAAGCCTTAGCCGATCCAATCAAAGTTCAATTCTTTAATCAACAAGAATTACAAAAGTATGTTAATATTGGTGGTGTTCGTATCGAAGATGATGTTTTAGTAACTGAAAATGGTTGTGAAAATCTTTCAAAAGATTTACCAAGAACATGTGAAGAAATTGAAGAATTTATGAAAAAATATTAAATTATCCACATTTTATTATTTTTCCAAGATTTAAATAAAAAGAAAAATTACATTTTAAAAAAAAAAAAAAAACAAATAGGATCAAATTTTTTTTTCCACACCAAATATTTATAAATTAATTTTCAAAAAAAAATTTACATTTATTACTTTTAAATTAATTAGAAATAGCGCAACATGGGGTCATTATAAATCAATTAACAATTTATATTAAAAAAAAAAAAGTAAAAATGTGATTGTGTGTGTGTGTGTTTGTGTGTGGAATTTAATTTATATTACTCCTTATTTATTCAATATTTAAAATTATTAATTTTTGCATAAATGAGCATTTAAAAATTTAAATTTTAAAAAAAAAAAATTAAAAAAAAATAATAAAAAAAAATAATTTTTCACTTTTAACAAAAAAACAATAATGATGCGACTTAGAACCACAGTGATATAATGTTATGAATTTAATTTATAATTTTTTTTATTTTTTTTTTTATTTCTTTTTTTTTTTATTTTTTTTTTTATTATTTTTTTTACAAAAGAAAAATTATTTAAATTTTAAGTTATCTAAATTAAATAACAATAAATATATAATTTAATTACTATTATTTATATATATATATATATTTATTTATTTATTTGTTTTTTTTTTTTAATTTAATTTTTTTTTTTTTTTTAAAACTCGTAATTTTGTTTTAGGTAATTATTTAATTAATCATCATTATTATTATATATAATATATTTTTTTTTTTTTTTTTGTGGGTTGTTTATACAATATTTTATAAAATAAATCGATAGGAAAACCCCACCCCAAATTACTCATTGTTTTTATTATTTTTGGGTTATTTTTTTTATTTAGGTTGTTGTCATTATATGTTTATATATACGTAGCCAATAATAAAAATAAAAATAGAGAGATGTATACACATAGTACA